TATTTGTCTTTCTAAACTTCCTTCTTTCTTCTATAATGGTCATTGCTTGTTATGTAGATCACCTCCCTGATGGTGATAAACTGAGCCCATGAGCAAGCTAATTTCACTGATATTCATTCCTGTGCTTTTGGAAAACATATATATACTGGTCACAAACTCAAAGAAAATTACACTCAGATTTTCACTCTTGAAGTGTGTCTGTTTGTCATTTCTTTCACCGACGCCCTGACCACCCTGCACGCTTCTCTCAACCCTGAGGTGGCCTCATCGTCTACTGCTGTGCTGGTCCGTGGCAGAAAATGAAAAGGCAACTGTTAACAGAGGCAGGTTTTCCACTGTTGGAGTGGAAGCTTACAGATAAGCAAGGGAAGGAGGCTAGAATTGTTAGGGGGAAAAGGCGGTCCCAAAGCAAATTCCATACAGGCTTTGTGGACTCCACCCCCACCCCAGGTCAAAGCCAAAGACACTGGGAACTCCAAATCCCATCACCACCAAAGGGAAGGTGGCTGGGACCTGAGGGTGGGGTTAAGCAGCCAGGTGGATACAAAAGGCAGACACGTGGGCTTTGGGGGTCTCTCTCTCTCCATTTTGGGCTCTGGGCCAGCGCGGAGCCTCCGGCCAGCTCTGGGAGTGACTTTGGGTTTCCAGGTCGTCGGATCGGGTAGGACGCATTAAAGACTTTATTTCCCTATTTTCTCCCTGAGTTGTACATTTTCCTTATTTCCTTTCCTCTTGTAAATAAACCTTTTATTAACCCTTTTGTGTGTGTCTGTAGTAGAGTATTCATAAGTCCCTTTAAAGCGCGCGGGTGAGGACCCACAGCCAGGAACCCGTTTAATATCGGGGTTGCTCTATAACAGCTTGGCGCCGGAACCCGTTTAATATCGGGGTTGCTCTATAACAGAATGACCCATGTAGTAATGGATTAGAGTTTGGAGACATCAGGATGAACCCATGATTAGCTTAATAGATACAGATGGCTACATGTAGAAACATTTATACATATGTTTAAACCTATCATAAGTAGACAGGAATATTTATTCATTCTGTCAGCCAAGAGAAAATTAGCAAGAAGCATATTTAATGCTCAGATCTTGGTTTCTAGTACCATTCTCTAGTAAAAGGAACCAGGATACCTTGGAGAAGTGGCTGGCTCTTGTAATGGGGCAGGGAAATTACAGGATGAACCTGGCAATCGTGTAGTTCCAGAAAGTAAGAAAGTTACTAAAGCAAAAAAATAAATAACAAAATCCCATAGTGATGGGGCTATGCCAAGGTGACGGAACAAACTCAACTAGCCAATGGACAAAGTTAGAACAATTTGAACCATAAAATAAAGTAGGCGGCCTCCCTGGTGGCACAGCGGGTTGAGCACATTGCTGTGAAGCTGTCCATGGCCTCTGCAGTGCAGGTTCGATTCCCGGCCAGCCAGGGAGATACCCACATGGCAGAACTCTCCTGTCTTGCCCGCTGCTCCCTTCAGCAGTGTATTTTGGTCAATCTGCCTGTTCTGCTCCCCGCTCTGTCTCTGGTGAATTCTTTCACCCTCCTGTGCCTCTGGCCTGTACCCCAGTTCTTGTATAAATCAAAATAAAATCTTCAAAATAAATAAATAAAATAAAGTAGTATGGGAGCATAATCCAAAGTATAAAATCATCCATTCCATCAATTATAACAAATGAACCACACTAATGTAATAGTGGGAAACTTGGTGTGGTGCACATAGAAACTCTCTAGTATCCTTGTAATTTTCCCATGACTCTAACACAATTGTAAAATTTAAAGCTTATTATTTTAAAAAAGACAACCCACAGATTGGGAGAACATATTCAAAATACATGTATCTCCAAAGGATTTGCACCAGAATTGACAGTTCTCACAAATGAATACCAGAAAGACAAAAAAATTAAAAAGATAACCCCTAATTTAAAAAGCATAGGCAAAAGACTTGAACAGACATTTCAAAAAAGAAGATATAAAAAAATTCAATAAGCACATAAAAGAGGCTCATCATGATTTGTTACTGGGACAAAAATAAAAGGAGATACCATTTCATACCCACTAGAAGGGATAAAATTAAGAGTGATAACTCCAAGTGTTGGCAGGCATCTGAAGAACACCCAGCACTCTTGTACAGGACTTTAGGGAGTGTAAAATGTACAGTCACTTTGGAAAACTCCTTAAGTACAGCCAGAACAACCCAGAAATTCCACATCTCTATTTCCCAAGATAAATAAAACATGCCCACAAAGCCTTGTACGGGAATATTTGTAAACTTCATAATAGCTGAAAACTGAAACAATTCTGAAAGGTTCGGCGCGGTAAAGAAAAGGAGAGCCAGGCTACATTTCTCAAAGGGAGGGAAAGTTGATTGCGCCCCGGGCGGACCTCACGCACCCAAGGTGGGGGTCAGTGAAGCCGCCCACGTTGTTAGGGGGAAGCAGGGTTTTATAGGGTGAGGAGAGGTCAGGTGGGTAGTTGGGCTCCTAGGGCGGGAAAAGTTTGTAGGGCAGGTAGAGGTTCTTTGTCTGAGAAGAGACTCCTAGCGGGAGGGGGGAGGCTCATTGTCTGAGTCCTCCAGGCAGGTATCCCCATTCCTGCCCCCCAGGTGGGCTTCTGGGTAGGCTTTTGCATTGCAGCCTGCTGCATGGACCTTTCAAATTCAAATGTCAATAAACAGGTGAATGGATAAAGAAGTCAATGGAATACTTTTCAGCAATAAAAACAACCAACTGTTGAATCTCACAAACTAGGGATAGATCTCAAAACATTCTACTGAGAAAAAAAAAGGCAGAGAGGAGAGAGTACCTATCACCTTCATTTTTAAAAGAAATATTATTTATTTATTTATGGATACAAGAGCTGGGGTACAGGCCAGAGGTGGGGGGTTGGTGAGAGGATTCACCAGAGACAGAGTGGGGAGCAGAACAGGCAGACTACCTGAAATATACTGCTGAGAGGAGTAGCGGGCAAGACAGGAGAGGTCTGCTGTGTCATGTGGGTTAGCTCCCTGGCCAGGGATCAAGCTCTTGCTGCAGAGGCTGCAGATTGCCTCATAGGTTGCCTCTTAACCCCTTGCGCCACCAGGGAGGCCCCATCTTCATTTTTATAGCAACAGGAATCAGAGAAATGGTTGCCTAAGTGGTGGGAGGTTATGTAACAGGGTGGTCCCCAGGAAAGGGGGAGGTTCCCTGCCCCACCCAAGGGAGGGTGGAGCTGAGCAGGAAGAGGAGGAGCTGCAGAAGAGACTGAGGAAGGAAGCAGGATGGAGCCAGCAGACCTGGAGGAGGCGCATGGAGCCTAGAGACACGTGAAGAAACTGCACTTGTCTTTTGGTCGTGGACTGGGTGACACAGATGTGGGTGAGACCCGTGGGGAGGTGACAATGGCAGCTTTTATCTTGATGTTGATTTTGCTCTTTTCCTTCCGGGCTTGTCTGGTTGTTTCTGACCCTTTTCTGTGGGTCCCCACTGGAAGATGCTTTAGACTTGCAGCAGGCTTTGGGTTCTTGTTCTGGGCCAATCCCATATGGATGGAGTTTTACCCAGGAGGGGACGGGTAACTTTGGGTGCTTGATTTAGAAACTAGATTCTTTGCCTTTCCTGTATTGTTTCCTAGTTTTATTAAAGTTCCTTCCCATTAAAGTCTCATATGTTTTGTGTTGATGCGGTGGATGGCAGAACCCATTTAGAACAGGCAGGTTTGCGGGGCTTGGGCTGCCCCTCTCCCTGTCCTATAACAGTTAGAAGGCTATAAGAGAATGCCTGGGTGATGGAAATACTCTATATCCTGAATGCTGGTGATGACAGCTGTTTACGTTTAGCAAAACTTACCAAAGTGTACACTTAAGAAACTATGCTTTTCCTTGTATTTAAACTTTATGTCAATTTTTAAAAATGGGAGTGGAAAAAGAAAAAAAAATTAGTGACGTGGAAAACACCAAACTGCAGGGAGAAACTTGGAGTGGTAAGCCCTTTCTTTAAAAGGTTAAGAAAACATCCCAAAGCTTCGCTCAATTTTTTTTTTAAAGATTTATTTATTTATGCATACAAGAACTGCGGTACAGGAGGGGGGGTGGGGGGGCGGTGAGAGGATTCACCAGAGACAAAGCAGGGAAGAGAACAGACTGAGTCAAATACACTGCTGAGGGGAGCAGCTGGCGTCAGGAAAGGTCTGCTGCGCCATGTGGGTATCTCGCTGGCCGGGGATCGAACTCGTGCTGCAGAGATCACGGACAGCTTCACAGGTTGCGTCTTAACCCCTTGCGCCACCTGGGAGGCCCTTCGCTCGATTTTTATGATGAAATAAAGACGTTAAAAAGTCCCGCAAACTGGGTGCCTTCCTTTCCCCCCGCGTCCCCTTGCCCTTCTCCACTACCGAAGACGCCCTGGCAGCTCCGGCGGACTCGCGTCGGGGGCTGCCACGCCCGCCCCCACGCCCTCCCAGACTCCCGCCGCGGGCGGGGCCCCAGGGCGCCCCACAGCCCCGCCCCATCCCGCCGCAGCCCCGCCCATTGCTTTGCTCACACCCAACCGTGTGCGAGCACCGACGGCTCACCTTTCAATCAATTCCAACAGCGCGAGGAGCGAACCAATCGCAAGCCTTATCCAAGGGGAAGGGGCGTGTACCTTCCCCGGAAGTTTGGTTAAAGCCTCTCCAATCAGCGGCGCGGGGCGCCGAGTTTGAATTTGCCGAGGGCCGGGTGCGGAGCGCCGGCGTCGGCCGGCCCGGAGGGTGCCTTTCCTGTTAGTTTGGGTGAAACTTCACGCCAGCGGCGGCCTCAGGTAGGTGGGGGCCGGGGCGCGGGAGGGAGGGCGCCGGCCCGCTTCCTTCTAGAAGGTCCAGACGGCCTGGGGACTTGCCGCTGCCGGCGGGACGCCGCCCTTGGGAGGCTCCTCCGGCCTCTCCCTGCCTGTCCCCGCCGAGCCGCGGGCACTGCCTTCCGGGCGAGCAGGTCGGGGGTGCCAGGGCCCGTAGTGGCGTCTCCCGCCCGCTCGTGACTGGACTTTGGGGCGGGGCAGTACTGCAGCTGGGGCCGGTTAGCCCCCTTCGCCCGGACGTTCAGTGGCTTACATCCTCCCGGAGGCCCGGAGAGCCGAAAACGCCCGGGTTGGAACCTCTGGGCAAGCAAGACGAAGGCACTGTAGGCTTCCAAGCCCGAGGAAACAGCAGTCAGCTCAAGGGAACTTCGCTGTGGGTGAGATGCCAGCTGCCTGGCTTGTGATGCCAGCCCCAGCGTTAATTGTGCCGCTGTGGGCAGTTCATTGAGCTCACCTGTAGCACGCGAGCGTTGTAACTACCTTCTGGGGTTACTGTGATCATTAAATATGCCTTCAGTAAAGAGGGAGCTTTGTCTCTACTGTGTATGGTGCTAGCTGTAGTTTTAAAGTAAGTAATACGTACGTTTTCTTTAAAGAATTAAACCAAGTTTTAAGGGTGCTAACATCTGTTATGACATTGCATGAGTTTCAGGTATACAACTTGATATTTCGACATCTGTATATACGATTGAGATCACTAGTAGGTTGCCATCCGCCATCATACCACTGATTCAGTGCTCCTCCCAACTAGTTTTATCCATCCTCTAATCCCCTTCCCGCCTGGTCACCATCACTGTTAAGAGAATTTTAAGTCTGCGTTCTTTATCTTCCACCTAGGAATGAGATTATATTTGTCTTTCTACGTCTGATTTGTTTCACTTGGCATAATCCTTTCGATTTGTTTCACTTAGCATAATCCTTTCAGGGTCTATCCACGCTGTCCCAAATGACACAAGTTCATGTATTTTTTTTTATTATGAATTTTATTTTTATATTCCCCTTACAATTGTGAACCCCTTATTTTGACCCCAATCCCGCCCCTCCCCCCCCCCACCCCCCATAGAGTGTCTCTGGTTCATAGTTGTTTGTTGATTTTGATTTTTACTTTCTTATAGTTATTCTTTTTCCTGGTCCCTTATTTAAGTTTTCTAGATTCCTGCTATGAGACCATCCGGTACTTTTCTTTTTCTTTCTGGCTTATTTCGCTGAGCATTTCCCTTCCAGCTCCATCCATGTTGCTGCAAATTGCATGTGCTTATCTTTTTTGAATGCTGAGTAATATTCCATGGTGTATATGTACCACATCTTCTTGATCCAGTCATCTATTTTTGGGCATTTGGGTTGTTTCCAAAGCTTAGCTATTGTAAACAGTGCTGCTATAAACATAGGGGTGCAGGTGCTCTTTGGAATTGATGTTTCTGTGTCCTTTGTGTAAATACCTAGTAGTGGAATTGCTGGATCATATGGAAGCTCTATGTTTAGTAGGTCAAGAAATCTCCACACAGCTCTCCATAGTGGTTGGACCAGTTTGCACTCCCACCAACAGTGCAGGAGAGTTCAAAAAAAGTTCATGTATTTTTATAGCTTGGTAGTGGTCCACTGTGTATATATGCCGCATCTTTATCCATTAGTGTTTTCATATTCTTCAGATAAATACCCAAAAGTGGGATGACTGGACCATAGAGTAATTCTAGTCTTAATTTTTTGAGAAATTTGCCATACTGTTTCCTGTAGTGGCTAACACCCATTTACATTCCCACCAGCAATGCATGAGACCTCCCTTTTCACTATATCCTATTTTGCATCTCACTAATAATCAGTAAGAATGAACATCTTTCCATATACCTGTTGACTTTGGAGAAATTTTATTCAGCGTCTCTGCCCTTTTTTGAGGTAGGGGTGGAGGGGGTCTGCCCATTTTTTAATTGGGTTTTTTTAAGTTGTATGAGTGCTTATATATCTTGGCTATTAATCCTCTGTCAAATGTATGATTTGCAAATTTCTTCTCCCATTTAGTAGACTGCTTTTTTGTTTTGGTGATTGGTTTTTTTAATGGCAGAAAGTTTTTAGTTTGATGTAGTCCTATTTGTTAATTTTTGCTTTTGTTTTCCATGCCATTAAGTCAAATCCCTAAGTTCAATTTAAAATTTTTATTTTAAGTTGCCAGAACATTTTTTCTGGAGAACCAGTCTTCTTCCTCCACTTTGGCCTGGCTGTTCTTTATGTCAGCTGTATGGATGACCCCTTAGGCTTTCTATTTATTCTTTTCCTCAGTTTGATCCATGCTTGCTTGGGGCCTATGACATCTTTTTTGTCCTTCTCTCTTGTGTGGCTTGAATACATTCTCAAGGCTCTTTCTAAGAAAAGGGCATGTGCTAAGTAAATTATATGATTTTCTTACATGATAAAACTAAATTTTATTTTGCCTTCACAAGTACAAACTGATATGCAATTGCCTGTATATCATCCTTACATGTCTAATAGGTGTCTCATACATTTTGATTTCTGGTTTTGGTTTGTTTGGTTTTGTTTGTTTTTGGTTTCAGGAAAATATGACTGGCAGCCTGTGTTCATCACCGGGGGAAGGTTAAGCAAACTGTTCTATCCTTTACTTACGTTCCCTATTTTCACCTTCATACTCTTTAATTTTGCAATGTTCTCAGTGGTAAGACAGATCCTCTTATCTATATTCTGGACTATAGCTTCCTGGGCTTCAGTTCATCTGTCCAGCAGATTTCTACTTAGAGCCCCCCCAAATAGGTTGTAGTTTCTTCTCTTTTGATAATATCTTTCCCATTATTCAATGTCACATATTTACTCAATTTTGTATTTTAATATTTTTATTTCAGGAGACTCTGCGAAGGGACAGGAGGTGAACTGGAAAATTTTTTAAATAATAGAATGAAAATTTGTCATTTGGTCTCTTTTCCTTGACAGGATGTCGTCTTCACATTTTATTGGTCGCTACAGAAAGGATTTAAGCTCTGAAATGATTAGAACTAAAATTGCTCACAGAAAATCACTATCTCAGAAAGAAAACAGACATAAGGAATATGAACGCAATAGACACTTTGGTTTGAAAGATGTCAACATTCCAATCTTGGAAGGGAGAAGTCTTGAGTTAAATGAGACATCTCAAGAGTTTATTCCACAAAAGACCAATAGCAAGTCAAGTAAGTAAAGGTCTATTGTAATTTTAAGTGCTTTGTAGAGTGAATAAAGATTGTTTTAATACCTGGGATTTAAAAAAAAAAAAAAAAAAAAGCCCTGACCAAAAGAATGGCGTTTCGAAATATTCTTAATAATTTGGTGTTTTCTACAACTAATTTCTGCTGTCTATTTAAGGCAAAGGTTGTGAAATTCCCAAACTAGGCTAAAACCATTCACTTACATAGCATTATGACAGTTTATTAATCTATATTGTGTTATAGAAATCTTAAAGTTCTTACTTCTGGAGCTAAATGATGATAAGATAAACTGACAGGGGACATAAAAATAGAACTGATAGAAGAATATATGAAATAAGGATACTTCACCAATGGAAACATTTCTTAGAAGAGTTGAAGGATTCATCCTTGCAGTTTGTCCAAAAAGTTGTGGGGTCATTAGGAAGGAAAGAACCAACTAAAGAAGAAAGGGATGATCTCAGAAAAGATAAAAACACAATAATGTGTGTTAGAAGGCAAGGGATGCTACAGGGAAAGAAGAAGAGAACTGGAAAATGACTTTTTCATTTAACCAGCAGTCAGTGGATTTCTGTTTACTTGTGTTTATATAATAGGCTCTTGAAGCTAGCTTACAGTGAAATAAAGCAGGGATAAAGGAGACCAGTTAGGAGACTATTGCAGTCATTTATTTTCATTACATAATTAGTTGATTAGTGTGGTAGCAGCAAAGACAAGTAGCTGCTTTCTGAATATATTTCAAGGTTTGAACCAAAAAGATTTTCCAAGTGCATTGGATGTAGGTTGATAAAGAGGAGAGGGGGCGATTTGAAGGTGTTTTGTCTGAACAAAAGTATGGCGTGGCCATTTACTAATTTGTAGAAGGCTTGATAGAGGAACAGATTTTGGATTTGGATTTAAGAGGTTTTTAAGAACTCTTAATATTAAGAGTTCAGGCTTGGATATGTTGAATTTGAGATGCCTATTATAACCAGAAAATCGGAATTTGGGCTACCTGACACCACTGAATGCTAATAAAGTAGAGACAGGAATTGAATCTTTGAAGTGTGCTTCAGTCAGACAGCCAGCAATCTGGAAGATTGGCGGGGAGGGTGGTAACACCCCAAAGAAACCACCTTAACATTTCATTTCCAGCTGCCTTTTTATAGTGAGTTGAATAAAGAGAGTTCAGCAGTAAGCAGGTCTTCACTGCTGCCCGGAGATTGTGATGTTCAGCCTCCGGAGCTCCTTATCGCCCTCCTGGACACCTGGCCTCATGCTCGTCCCACTGTGCTGAGGCTGGTGGTCACATAACACTGGCTCCCCAGACTCCTGCAGACGTGTCCATGGCTGGAAAATTAACTCGGAGAAGACAGGCCATAAGCAATATGTATGTGCACATTTCCTACCGTGCCAGCTTAGTGTCTCACTTGATCTACTCCTCCTCCCTAGCCCCTATCACTATAAGACATGCAAGAACAGATGATGAAAAGTTAGATATACAAGATGAGTTTTAAGAGAGACGTCTGAACTAGGGATAAAATTTCAGGAATTACAGGTGGTGTTTGGAAAGCAGCTATGAGGGGAAAACTAACAAAGAACTGAGATAAAATACAAAGTAAGAGGATAAGCAGAAGAGTGTGTTATCCTAGAAATTTCACCAAGTGAAACAGGCAAATCAAGGAGGGGAGACTGATTAAATGTCAGTGATGTTTGTCAGGTCAAGTGATATTAGAAGTGAGAATTTGAACTTTATCACTGTGGAGGTCAGTGGTTATCTTGATAATAGTTTTGGTAGATGAAGTTCAGGGATTGAAAGCCAGATTGGGATGGATTCAAGAGAATAGCAGCATCACTTGGGTCCTACTCTTGCACCAAAAGTTGAATTTGAGTCTAGTCAAACCCTTAGATATAATAACCTGGTTATAGAAAACATGAAGGCTAGAGGAGTGAGTGAAAAACATAAGGAAGCGAACATACCTATGTAGGGTACACTGTTGGACAGCTGACTATCTTGTCAACAAGAGAATGGCATGAGAAGAGAGAATCTGTTTGAGATCAAGAGACTTAAAACGTAGCCAAATAAAAAGCATGGATCTTGCTTGGTTCTTACTGAATAAACCAATGATTTAAAAAAGAGTTGTCTGAAACAAGGAAGTTTAAATTTGGTCCCTGTAGATAGTACAGAATTCTAAATTTGTTAGCTGTGATAATGGTGGTGTGGTTATAAAAGAAAAATATCTTTTTTAAGAGGTGCTTAAAATAGGAGTTGAAATACTTGTAGCTACCACATTAGGAATTAACAAAAGCATTTCTTATCAGTATTTGAAGTTGGACAAAATGATATTTTAGATACTTACATAACTTTTTATGTGAAACATTTTATGTACTGTCTTTCCCCCCCCCCTTGGGTCAATTAAAATTGTTTTAGGTGATCTACGAAAACAAATGCTCCAAAGATACAAAGAAGAAAAGCAACTTCAAAAACTGAAAGAGCAGAGAGAGAAAGCTAAACAAGGAGTATTTAAAGTAGGTCGTTTTAGACCTGATAAGCCTGTTTTTCTTTTATCAAACAAGAATGCGGTGAAAGCTGAACCAAAAAAGGTAAATTTAGTATCATAACTTCATAGAGGAATAATTCTTTTTTTTTTTTTTTTTTTAAAGATTTATTTATTTATTTATACAAGCACTGGGTACAGTCAGAAGCACAGGAGAGTGAGAGAGAACCCACCAGAGCCAGAGTGGGGAGCAGAGCAGACAGAAGGACTGAAGCACACTGCTGAGGGGAGCAGTGGGCGGCAGGAGAGGTCTGCGCGCCATGTGGGACCCTCCTCCCGTGGCCGGGGAGCAGCCGGGGATCGAACCGGCGCTGCAGAGGCCGTGCGCAGCCTCGCAGCCCAACGCTCAACTTTTGCGCCATCGGGGAGGCCTGAATAATTCTTTTTAAATGAAATTTTCATTGAGCTTAAATAACCGTTTCCCCTTTATTCACTTAACTAGTTGGTAGTAGGTGGTAATAATCTAATAGTAGCTCAGGTGATGAAAATCAGCTTTTGATATAGGTAAAGCTAAGTTGAGGTAGGATACAACTAAGAAAGTGAGTAGAGCCAGGTGGAAAAATGCCTAAAGATTTGGCATTATCCTGTAGGATATGGATAGCCAAGGGAGAGTTATAAATTATCATTGTTAAACTAATAATTCAGGAAGAGTACCCTGAACTTGAAGATTATAGTCTGGGTAGAGAAGCATTTATAGATAGGAAGACCGCTTGTGAGACTATCATGTTAGGTGAGACAGGACAAGTGGGCTAGGGGAGTGGGTTTTAAAGAAAGAATTAGGTGTAAGACACCTTAAAAGGTAAATTTTACAGATGGTGAGGAATAAAGGAAATTGACGAGTTAGATATATGACGATTTTAATGATATTATTTTGAACAACTATTAAAGCATGCTGCTTCTAAAAGAGATATAGAAGGCAAGCAAAGGAACAAGTTTAAGTAAGTGCATATTTATAATCTGCAATCTTTTTTTAAAATCTGTTTGGACCATCTAAATAAAGGGCAGTTGGTGATAAAAATTTGGAAATCTGGATAGAGGTCCATGCTAAGATGAGTATTTAGGATATGATATTGAGAATACAGGTGGACAGTTAAGCTGTAGAGACCCTCCAATAAGGACATATAAAATTATGAAAAAGAGTGCATTCTAGAGAGAACTTCTGGTAGACAGAAATCAGACACTCGTGGCTAAAATTTAGCTTTAGGGCCTCCCCGGTGGCGCAGCGGTTGAGCGCTGGGTTGCGAAGCTGCCCGCAGCCTCTGCAGCGCTGGTTCGATCCCCGGCTGCTCCCTGGCCTCTGGAGGAGGGTCCCGCATGGCACGCAGACCTCTCCTGCCGCCCGCTGCTCCCCTCAGCAGTGTCTTCGGTCCTTCTGCCTGCTCTGCTCCCCGCTCTGGCTCTGGTGAATTCTCTCACCCTCCCGCGCTTCTGACTGTACCCAGTGCTTGTATGTATAAATAAATAAATAAATAAATAAATGAATGAATGAATGAATGCATAAATAAATAAATAAATGAATAAATCCTTTAAAAAAAATAAAATTTAGCTTTAAATGAAAACTTTATTTCTTAATGAAACATGGAAGTAAACTCGACAGTTCATTTTTTTAAATTTTCTTTTCATTTTGACTCTTTTTAAGGCTGTTCAATCTTCTGTACTGATTACAAGGTCAAAGGCCAAAGAGCAAATGGAACAAACTAAGGTATAGTTGCTAGTACACCATTGTTACAAAATGACAAATTGTACTTTTTTTCTTGGTAAACAAATTCTTTTAAAATCTATTATCAGCTTCAATGATAGTGATTAGTTTACTATATTAATATTATACCTAATTCTTATTGGTTTGGTGACAGCAATTTTGACTAAATGCTAATGAAATATTCCTTATGAGAGTGATTCCAAAATTCATCTTTGTGTCACACTTATTTTTTACTAGGCTTCTATTAATGTATTCCATGTCATCATGGGTCCTCAAAACACTAGTATGGATAGTGTTAGTAGGAGGTTTACTAAAATAAAGTTTAATGGGCAAGGTGGGAATTACTTTGCTACTTTATTTGGTAAGGAAGCTAAGTTTCATATATTCACTAATTTTTTTAGTTAATTATTATGTTGCTCTAAGCTCTTGGGTATAGTAATAAACAAAACAAACAAAATTCCCTGTTTTCATGGAGTTTACATGAGAGACAGGCAATAAAATAAGTATGTAGAATATCAGAGAGTCATAAGCATTATGGAGATTTTTTTTTTTAAGGGAGATGGAGAGTACCTAAGTAGTTATTGGGTAGAATTTTGATGGGCAATAAATCATTCTGGTACCAATTTCTAAGGTGGGGCGGGGGTTCACTCAAATGCAATACTCTGGACACCAGCTGGGTGTCATACAGTTTGACTCAGATAGCGCCAATTTTGGCAGGGGAATCTCACTGAAATAGTAGCATTTTGCATGAAGTCTTTGAGTGGAAGAGTGAACCAGGGGAAAGAACTTTCCACCCAAGAGAAGAATTTTTTTAGGTAAAATTCAAAGTTCTTGAGGTGAAAACTCGTTTAATGTGTTTAAGGACTCAGGTGATATATAGTCAGCTATCTTTTAGTAGCTTAAATTATAGTGCTTTCTAATTTTTCTCCCAAATTTTGTTGATCTGCCAACTGTTTAAGAATACAACTTCACATCTCCGTATGTGCACATGCTTCATGCACTCCCCACATTTTTTCCCCCTGAATTCTAGAGTTCTAAAGAAGCTTTTAAGAAAATTTATATAATGGAAAGCTTTTTTTCTTATCTCATTTTATTTGGGGTAGTGGATTTTTTTGCCGGGTCATTTATAATTGTCAGAGTTCAGATGAGGGTAATTTATAGACTTAAAAATGTGGTAGTTTATTCATTATATAGCTAAATTAATTACATATATTTAAATACATGATCTTTTAAACAGATTAATAATGGGAGCAATGTTCGGGCAGTCAGACCTGGTCAAAGAAAAACTTCTGAAAAGAAAGTGTTGGAAAAAGAGAAAAAAGGTATGGATATTAGCAATTGTTATAGTTCTGATGCTGCCACAACAATAATTTAATGATTTCAAAAAGCATTTGATTCTGACTTTTTTTTCCCCACAGCTATACAACCAGTAGTGCCCACATCGATGAGAATGACTCGATCGGCTACTCAAGCAGCAATGCAGACTGTAAAAACAGTCTCATCCACTACAACAGGAAGGCCTATCACAAGAGCTACTATCAGTAAGACTATTTCTTGATCAGTGACTAAATTAGAGGTGCTTTAGTTTTTTTTTTTTTTAATATTTAAGTTTTTGAATTGTCATGTATTTTTTTGAGTAGGAGAAGAAAAAAGGAGATTTCAATTCCTGAAGGTAGGTTTTGTTATCTCTACCACATCCAGTTAGCAAATAATAGGTGTTCAAATGTTGAAGTACCTGAATTGGCATAAGCAGTGCTTCAAAGTGAAAAATGAATGGCCCAAATTAACTAAGGTCAATCCACTGATGGAATACAGTGTAACCATTTAAGAACAATGTAGAAGAAAGTTTAATCACATGGTTCCTGATATACTAAATGGGCAAAGAAAATCGGGTCTCATTCCAAACCATATGATCACAGTTTAAAAAAATAGTATGTGACTATGTGAACATAGAAATGAACTGGGGAAATGTACCATGATATGATTACTCTGTAATGTAATTTTTTTTAAATTGTTCATTGTGCTTTTCTTTATTTTCCTAATTTTCTGTAATAAATGTTCTTGATATTTTGATATTCAGAGGTAAAAGGTAAAAATACTTTAATGCTTTTGTTTCATTTTGAAAACAGATGGTATATACTTGGCAGGAGATTTTACATTTTACCCCATTTTATAATGCCTTTTAACCATAAAGTTGTTTGAGACACATTCCTGTTGATGCCTTTTTCTTTCCCCAAACTTCCTAGTACTTTTGTTTTTAAGAGTACACCATGGTGATTTTATTTTATCTGATTTATATTTGCATAGATGAACTAGGGTGTAGATTGGAGGTGCAAGGGTTGAGATTATTCACCAGAGATAAAGTGGGGAGCAAAACAGGTGGATTTATAGGAATACACTTCTAAGGGGGACAGTGGGGCAGACAGGAGAGGTCTGCCTCACCATGTGTAGGTTAGCTCCCTGGCTGGGGATTGAACTCAGGCCATGGCAGTGATAGTGCAGCTTTTTCTATCTAGTTAAAATGGATGTCATATTTTTATTTTAGAAGCAGAAAGTAAGTCACCAAATAAAGGAATACCTGCCAAAAAAATAGAAGGAGAATCTGACAAGGTAGAGTATAAACATGTTTATTTCTAGCTACTTTGAAAATCTCATTGCTACTTTCATAAAGTTGAAGTTAAGCATACAGAATTACTTTAAGAAGTTAACCTACATGTATGTTAAATCCTCTTGAACCGTAATGACATATCAAGAGGATTTACCCTTGTATTTCAGATATCTTGTCTTCAAATCTGTATAAGTAAAGAAAATATAATCAGGTTAATAGAAGACAGAGAAAAATAATTTAGAAACAGCTATGGACACCTGTAACTATTGTTAATAGCGTATTTTTTGAAAGCTGCTTAGAAAGTAAATCTTTAACGTTTTCATCACAAGAAAATATTTGTAACTGTGGTGATGCTAGATATTAACTAGACTTACTGTGGTGATCATTTTGCATTATGTACACATATTGAGTCATATGTGTGGTTCATTTGAAAAGAATACAATGTTATATGTCAATTATATCTTTTAAAATGTGGCAATTAACTGGGAACAGAAAAATGCCATACACCTTCTATGGCTAGTCTTACTGTGTCATACTGAAAAGTTTTTTTCCTCATCTGATTACTTATAATCAAGGTTATTTTAAAAAAGGATTTCATCCTTGACAATAGTACTCATCCAATAAATTAATTAGATTTCCAACTATTGTAATTGTCAACATGATTTAAGCAAAAAGATTTATATGCCTTAGTTTACACCTTAGGTTAATTTGCACCTTAGTTTTCATATAATTTGTTGTAATATCCAAAAATTATTATTTAGTTCTTTAATAAGGATTTTTTTTTTTTTTTCTTTTTCTGGCTCATAGTAATGGCTTAATATAGCTGGTCTTCTAATTCCATCTATACATTTAATTGTATTTCTTTGTATGTCTTGAATTCTTGTACAGGGGACATATTTCTCAACTGACACATTTTGAGATCTGTAAAAATTGGTTGAATATATATCCACAAAAGAAAAATTCTCACTCTATTCTTTTTACTTACATTTAGGTCATTTCTTTTAAAGTTGATAGTGAAGAAAATACTTTGCATTCAACTACCAATACAACAAATGGAACGGATGGAGTCTTGTCAAAACTGGAAAACTTACCTAAGACAAACTCTGCAAAAATGAAAGGGAAGAATTCCTTCGCACCAAAAGATTTTATGTTTCAGCCGCTCGATGGCCTGAAGAACTACCAAGTAACACCTATGACTCCCAGAAGTGCTGATGCTTTTTTGACACCCAGTTACACCTGGACCCCTTTGAAGACAGAAGTGTAAGAATGTAATGTTAATAACGAACTCCTTGCTGAGATGAAGAACAGCAAATGCTTTTCTTAGCTTTGGCCTGTGCTTTTTAGAACTTATTAGTTAGTAAACTATGTGGATTATAAATCATGCAGATTTTGTCTTCAGAAGGCTGCAATAATGGATTTAATAGTTTTGATATTTTAATATATTATTATTTTCATGGCACAGTTTGGGATTCTGGGGATTTTTTTTCCTTTGGATTTTAATAAGTGAATTTATTTTCACTTAGAAGTACATTTTTAGAAAGAAGAGATTGCTATAACTCTATAGTTTAGACATGGTTTGGACTTTTGTTTGTGCTTTTTTGCTGAGTATTACTTTAGAAAAAACTACCTCTAAAGAAAAATTATTAACTTGCAATGAGGAGGGTGGGGACAATCAGTTGAAATCTGTAAAAGAAAAGGCAAAGTTGTTTTGTAAAGACTGACTAGTGGCAAATACACTAGAAACTACTCAGCAACCTCCAAGACTACTAAGTGCTTATGTTCTATTAAGAGATCTTTAAAATCTTTGGATTTCATTATAATTAGGAAAGATGGATATTTCTACTACATAGGTTTTTGATTTTTTTTTCTCTCCAGAATAGACATATTTTTAAAAAGATAGAAACATTTCTATTTTATCCCAGGTTTAAAAAAAATAAGCATTATTTTGAAATCCTTTAAATAGAGATATAGGGCTCATGTTTCATGAAGTATATATTTGCTGTTGTTTTTAGTGATAAGACTCAAGAAGCAGCAAAAGAAATTTTGGCACAAAAAACTAAAACTTACTCTACCAAGACAGTACATCAATATTCAAGTAAATTACAGTGTCCTTTGGACAATAAAGGTATGGTATTTTAACTAAATTTCAGCTGTTTTCTGGATAATGATTCATCAGAGATTTGTTTAGTCTATTTGCATATGATTCAGGAATGTTACCACAAGTGAGAAAAGATGGGAAAGCATGGGGAAAGACATTCTAAAGAAAAAATGAGAATAAAAAGTACAAACTGAGAAGGGGGGGTTTAAATGTAAATTTGAAGAGATAAAGAATAGTGAGGCACCCATTTGAGGAGATGTGAATGAAATCTATTAGGCGGAAATAAAATTTTGAAATTCAGCATTGAAAAAACTGAAGGTCCCCCCAAAAAAAAAGTCTTGTTATGGGGGTGTTATTTTAGGAATTACTGCTTGGAAATTTATGTGCAATATTTTCTTTATAGAACCTGTCTTTAATAAAAATGAAACTACTAGAAATTCAAATGGCCTCCCAATAAAGGAAGACTCATCATTTGAAATAAATGAAGAACATATACCTCAGCCACAACATGATGTGCCATATTTCAGGTTTGTCTATTTGTTCCTAGTATAAGACTTTTGTGTTAATGTCTGGACATTGGAAATTGACATTTCAGCTAGTTTGACCTTAATATAATAGATATCCCTAGGTGGAAATTGACTGTGGGTGCTTTATTTTTTAAATTTCAGTTATTCTTCAATAGCTGGTGCTTTTTTATGGTTCCTAATTCAAAGGGTAAAAAAAGGTACAAGTGGGAAGTCTTCTTCCTAACTGTCTGCCAACTCTGTTGTTTGAACATTTCATGGAGGCAAATGTCCATTCATTTCTTATAAATACTTCCAGAAAGATAAAGTTGAACATTTATAGATTTATTTATACTGTTTTCATAATCTTAAAGTCTAGAGACATTTCGTTGTTAAGACTTAGACCTCTCTCGTGCTTTGTGTGTGTTTAATGGCCACATGGTATCTAATTGTGTGTATTTACCACAGTTTACGTAGTCGGTCTCTGTTGCTGGTTAATTATATTGAGATCAGTCAACTACTATTACAATGAAGCCTCAGAAAATGCCCTTGTATGCCTTTCACTTCTCTTAAGTGTAAAATATAATGACTCCAATTTATATTCCCTCTAGCAAGGTATGGGGACTTCTATTTTCTTTTACCCATTTAAAAAATTTTCCACAAAGACAAGTTAATGTTTATATTATTAAAGAACAGGGGGGAGATGGTAGGAGACTCTTTGGACAACTAAATCATGAGATAGCATTCTTTCTTCAACTCTGAAGAGTGAAAGTGAACACTATGTCTTGGGGAACCACAACCATATCACCTAAAGATCTTGGAAACAAGTCAGAGGACTGCATTTGGAGAGAGGCTCCAACATTCCATATATCGGACGTGATTACATGGTATTATTCTTGAATGAATGTAGCAAGAAAATTACCATATCCTTTTTATTGCAATGATAAACATTTTCTTAAGCTTTGCCAACCAAGAGGATGAGAAATATTATCTTGCTAAAATTTTGATATTTATTTGTTCTGTTATGAATGAATTTTATTTTTTTTTTACTTCAAATATTTTTAGAGCATAAAATTTTAGAATTGTAGGGTATTTTAGAGATTAGTCCATTGTGTTGTTCAACTGAGACATTGTAATAAAAAGCAATTTACCCAACTAAATAATGTCAGCTCTTCTTTTTCTCATTAAGTTGTTACGTTAATGCCATTGGATATAAATAGCTAAATTTTTCTTCTAAGAAAGAAAACCATCCTCAGTTTTCTCCCACCAGGATGCATTTTATAAAGAAACAAATTTAACTTAGACCAGGGTCTTAACCTTGGCATTATTGACATTTTAGGCTGATTTTTTTTTTTTTTTTTTTTTTTTTTTTGCTTGACTTCTTTTTCTTTTTCCTTTTCTTTTTAGAGTAGTAAGATTTTATTTTTTTTAATAATTTTTTTATTTTTTACATCATTGTTCTTTTTTAAACAATATTTGCCTCCCCGCAACCCCTCAAGTGTAGTCCCTATAGAATTTCCTTCACCAATGCACTCGTGCACCATCACCTCAGTCCCCTGTGCTCCTTCCTCCCTCCCTCTGAGTCTTCTCCTTCCTTGCAGTATGTCTGATTTATAATTGTCTGTTTTTGCTTTGTTGTGTTTTGTACTGTTAATATTTTTTTATACTGATGTCTTATTTGGTTTCCCTATATTCCTGCTACAAGTGAAACCATCCAATATTTTTCTTTTTCCTTCTGGCTTATTTCACTGAGCATAATTCCGTCTAGCTCCATCCATATTTCTGTGAATGACCTGAGTTTATCTTTTTTGATGGCTGAGTAATATTCCATTGTGTGTATATATACCACATCATCCTGATCCAGTCATCTGTTTTTGGGCATTTGGGTTGTTTCCAGGCTTTGCCTATTATAAATAGTGCTGCAATAAACATAGATGTACAGGTTTTCTTTTGAATCAGTGTTTTTGTGTCCTTTGGGTAGATCGCTAGTAGTGGAATTGCCGGGTCGTATGGTAGCTCCTTTTTTAGTAGACTGAGGAACCTCCAGACAGCTTTCCATAGTGGTTTGCACTGCCACCAGCAATGTAGGAGAATCCCTTTTTCACCACATCCTCGCCAACATTTGTTGTTGCTAGTTTTTTGGATATGTGTCATTCTTACTGGTGTAAGGTGGTATCTCAATGTGGTTTTGATTTGCATTTCCCTGATTATAAAGGATGTTGAACCGTTTTTCATATTAGGCTGATTAATTCTTGTTGTGGGGCTGTCCTTGGCTGGTAGGCTCTTTTATAGCATCCTTAGCAGTAACACTCCTTCAGTTGGTAAAAATCAAAAATGTCTCTAAACAATGTCAGATATCCCCTGGGTGGTAAAATCAATCCCACTTGACAATCACTGCCATTGAGAAGCAAAACCTAGTAGAGAGAACCTGTGAAGCCATATCACTTAATTCCAGGCGTGCAGTTTTTAGCTTCAACCCACTCTTGGCAGTTGGGTTGGTCTTAGTTCCATGGACAATAACAGAGAACTGTTAACAGTGATAAAGAATAAAACAAAATAGAAATTAGAACAGAGTAGAAATATTAACTTGAAAAATGGGCTCTTGGAATTGACATCTGAATAAGTTTTAGGTGTAGAAAGATGTACATACATAGGGTATCAACTTGTATTTATAGACTTTAAGATATGGCTTATAAGATGATTAGGCATTTGCTCTGGGAAATTAATATTAAACCTTGCCTTTTATACCTTCCTAATATTATTGTGTCATAACACTAATAGTGTGAGAAATATTTGTAAAACTGTAATGTTTGGGCCTCCCTAGTGGTGTAGTGGTTGAGCGCTGGGTTGTGAAGCTGCCCGCAGCCTCTGCAGCGCCGGTTCGATCCCCGGCTGCTCCCCGGCCACCAGAGGAGGGTCCCACATGGCGCGCAGATCTCTCCTGCTGCGCCCGCTGCTCCCCTCAGTGTATTTCTGCCTGTTCTGTTCCCCACTCTGGCTCTGGTGAATTCTCTCACCCTCCAGCGCTTCTGACTGTACCCAGTGCTTGTGTAAATAAATAAATAAATCTTTAAAAAAAAAAAAAAAAAAAACTGTAATGTTTGCCATCATTTCAGAAATGTTCTCCAATCAGAGACTGAGAAATTAACTTCATACTGCCTTGAGTGGGACCAGAAACTTCAGTTGGATATTCCAGATGATGGTGAGGGAGCATTTTTTTTATGGCTTAGTTTTGTTTCAATATGATCATATTTATCTGAAATATAAAAATCTAGTGTTGCCCAGTGGTATAGTTTCATTGTTATTCAAAACAGCAAGTTTTTCTATCTCAATATATGTTTGCAACTATGCTAAAATGGTACCTGACTTAAAAGATAAACACTATTGGAATACTGACTGCTGTTGGCCATGGGACATTGACCTGACCTTGGAGAGGCTGGGGACAGGTCATTCACGTGGTAGTCAGTTGCCCACATGATCCAGTCCGGTAGTATCCCCGGCCACCAGGCTTGGTGAGCTTCCCAGTCTGTGTGCAGCAATGCTGGGAGAGACAGGAATGGTCCACACAGCTCCTCTGTGGGATACCTGAGTGCCACCCAACCCCTGACTGGATCCACCCCTTGTGCCATTTTCCTTTTACTGCAATAAACTGCAGGAACCCTGAGTGGAACAATTTAAAAAAAAAAAAAAAAAAGAATATTGGTGGCTATCATTCCTTAGAGTTACACATTTGTCTGTTTTGTTAGATTTTTTTTTTTTTTTTAGATAAGTCTCTATGGATGGCATCTGTATCTGTTGTTGTTTAGTTACATAAAAGTGTTTTCTGAATGCGTATGGACCAGATTTTTTAAAAAGTTCCTTAATCTTACTTATTTGGGGAAGCGGTTTAGTTAAAAATCATTTGCGAGCTATCAGTTGGAAATGCTTCTCAGATACTGATATGCTATGAGTTGAGTTTGAATTCTTACAAAATTCAAGGAGAGACAGAATGCTGTTTAGTATGCAGCAATATATATATGAAAGTAATTATTGCTAATTTTTAGCAGAAATTGAGGCAAATAGTTAATGCTCAGTACTTGTATAACAAAGCTTTTGATATCTTTGTTTTCCTTAAAGGTAAGAATTTGTTACGTAAGCCCCAGAATATCTGGGGTGAATTCTTATTAATTAGTTAACCTGCAATACTCTGTTTTGTCCTTTAACTTTTTTAAAAATTTTATATTTCTTTTAGCTAAAGATCTTATTCGCACAGCAGTTGGTCAAACAAGACTTCTTATGAAGGAAAGGTTCAAACAGTTTGAAGGACTGGTGGACAATTGTGAATATAAAAGAGGTGAAAAAGAAACTACCTGTGCTGATCTGGATGGATTTTGGGATATGGTTAATTTTCAGGTATGTGGTCAAGTATTTTGAGTCTGGGTTTGTTTTGTTTTTTTAAGTGAGGTAGCAGTAAAACAGGGCAATAATTGCTGCTTCGGTATCTATAGTACTAAATGGGATACTAGACAGCATCTTTGTAAACTGTAAAACAACATCTAAATTTTATGACTGATGTCCTCACAGAGCCTATATTGTGAGGATAACTTATATGTACTTTGGAAATTGAGATTATATTCAACGGCTATAATGATTCTACATGTGAGAAAATAAGTAGATTTCATCTTTAGTAGTTCAGTTCATCTAGCAGTTACCGAGTTCCTACTGAATGCCTAGTAGTTAATAAGGCACAGTCCCTGTCCCTCCAGGAGTTTGTATTTCTCTTTGAGTCAGGCACAACACATAATTCCACAGTGCTATCACAGAGGGACTCACCAGGAAGGTCAGAAAAGTTACGGGTGGAGGTGACTTTCTAGCTTTTTAATCTTATTTTAGAAATAAGCATGCAAAATATTATTTCAGGAGCTAAAAGCCACTAATCACTAGATATTTGAGGAGAGCCTGAAAGAAAGGCCAAAGCAAACATAGAAACAAAGCTATTTGGATAGAGAATATGGGTAATAAATGCAAGGAGAAAAGAAAGTTTTAAATGATTCTATTACTAGAATTCTATTAGAATTCTGATAAAAGTATTAATATTCTCAAAGCGACCAGACATGTCATCTGCCAGTAAGAACAGCTATTAAAAAAAGAACATTCAGAGAACACCAAAAATAGCTTTTTGAGGTTAGAAACTATGAGAGCAAAAGTGTGAGATTCAATAGAAAGGCGGAATATAAAGTTAAAACCTCCCATTAAATAGAGAAAAATAGGAGAGGCTGGATTTGAAAACTAGGTGTAATATCCAAATAATGGGAATTCCAGAAGAAGAGAACAGAAAAGATAGTGAAGAGGAAATAATCAATGAAATAGTTTTAAATTTTTTCCCCAGAACTGGAAGACCTGAATTCCAGATTGAAGGAGTCTATCGAGTGTCTAGCACTGTGAACCATAGTGACCCATATCAATGCACAGCATTAAATGATTACACAACTCTTGGGATAAAAAGAAAAACCTAGAAACTTCCAAAGAGAAAACAAGTTTCATACAAAGGGTCAAGAATCCAAATAGCCTTGGATTTCTCAATAGCAACATTGATAGCTGGGAGAAAATGTTCTCAAACTTCTAAGGGAAAATAACTTCCATCCTATGGTTCTATACCCAATCAGTCAAATATGCAGGAAGGCATTTTTCAGACACACCTAATAATGAATTTTACCTTCCATATACCTTTCCTTAGGGAACTAAGTGAGAATGTACTAAACAAAATGGAGTAAGCCTAGAAAGGGAGAGCAGGCAGGACTGATCCCCAGTAAGGGGCAAAGGGAATTCCATAGGAAGAAGGTATGTAGCACGTTAGAAAGTAGTCGTTCAGAGCAGGAGGCTCAAGAGCCCTAGGAGATCTGTCTCTGTGCAACTGAACTGAGCAGAATGCCTGATTTACTTTTTGTCTAAGAGATTTACGCTTATCGTATAGCATTTAGAGGTGAATTGATAATAGATATCTAAGAAACTAAGCAGACAAAAAGCAAACTCATAAAGTCTAGAGAAAAAGTGAAGAAAACATAATTAACTCTATGGCCCAGATGTAAATAGTGTCTGTAGTCATTAATATAAGCATTACTTTGTGACCAGCTTTTATATTCCTACCAGCTTTCATAATGAGTTGGTTCACGCAGATCCTTCATTGGTGACCAATTAATTTTGTGATTTTTAGTATCATTATTTATGGGTTTAAAAAATTTTGTTTGTATGGTTTACAGGTGTTGTCTTTACTGATCTCATTTCCCATCTTTGGTTGGTGAGAGACTCTTCAAGTTGGCTGCCATGGCCTTTTTTTTTTTTTTTTTAAGAGCTGAATTGAATAATATACGTATCATAAAATTTTCCCAATGAGTGTACAGTTCAGTGAGTTCCAGTAAATTTACAGAGTCGCACAACCATCACCCCAGCACAAATTTAGAACATTTTTATCACCACAAAAATATCCTGTCTGCCCATTGCTACTCCCAGCATAAGAAACCACTCATGTACCTGCTGTCGTTAAAGATTTGCCTTTTCTGAATATTTCATATTAAAGATGTGATCTTTCATATGTGCCATCTTTTGCTTAGCATGATGACTTTGAGGTTCACCCATGTTGTTCCATGTATCTGCATTATAGGCCTTTTCATTGCTTGATAATCAATATTCTGTTGTAGCATACATCACTCTTTATTCACCAGTTGATAGACATTTAGATTTCCACTCCTTGGTGATAATGAATAATCATCTGTGGATATTCATATATAAATCATAGTGTGGCTGTTTTCATTGCTCTTGGAGTAGATACCTGGAAACTGCTGAGCCATATGGTAAATTTATGTTTAACTTTTTAGGGAACCGCCAAACTCTTTTCCAAAGTGATTGCATTTTACATTACCAACATTGTGTTCAGTTTTCTTGTTTCTTGACACCCTCAAGAGTACTTAAAACAGTATGTCTTTTCAGTAAAACCATCCTGGTGGGCGTGAAGTATCTTGTAGTTTGCTTTCATTTCCCTAATTAATAATGATGTTAAGCATCTTTTTATGTACTAAGTAGCTATTCAAATGCCTTCTTCGATAAAATGTCTATTTAAATCTTTTGCCCATTTTTCTAAATTGAGTTTGACTCTTTTCTGAGATGTAATTCGGATATGAAGTCCTTTATCAGAAATATTACTTGCAAATATTTTTTTTCCAGTTTGTGGCTTGTTTTTTTAGTTTTCTTGATGATGTCTTCTGAAGTGCAAATGTTTGTATTTTGATAAAGTTCGATGTATCGATTTTTTCCTTTTTGTTGTGATTTTAGCATCGGGTATAAGGACTCTTCACTAAACCACAGTACACAAGATTTTCCCTTTAATTTTATTTGAAAAGGCTTGTAGTTTTGGCTGTTACAGTTAGGTTTCTGACCCATTTGGAGTTTCTTTTGTGTCTGTTAAGGAAAGAGTTTAAATTCATCTTTCTTCTTATGGAGATCCAGTTTCCCCAGCTCTGTTGAAAAGATGTTCCTTTCCTCAATGAATTGCCTTGGATAATTGTTTAAAATCAATTGGTCTTAAGTATAATCTTGAATCTTTTTTGACATTTACATTTTTTTAAGGAAGAGAGGTTGAAAGTAATATGTGCAAAAATATGTGTAAGGGAACTGGAAGCATAGTCTACCAAACTGTTGACAGTTATTCTGTAGAGGAGACTAAAAATACCAGAAGGACTAGTATTATGCTTTCTAGTATATTCTTGAAGAATTGCCAATTAAAACAATCATATACCTATTAGAATGGCAAAAATTCAAACCATTTGATTACCAAATCATGGTGTGAGGCTGTAAAGCAACAGAAACTCTCATTCATTGCTGGTAGAAATGCAAAATGGTACAGATACTTTGGAAGACAGTTTGGCAGTTTCTTACACAATTTGACTTACTCTTATCCAGCAATCACACTCACTGGTATTTACCTAAATCATTTGAAAACATATGTCCACACAAAACATGTACAAAGTTGTTTATAGCGGTTTTATTTTTAATTGCCAAAACTTGGAAGCAACCACCCCTATGTTTTTCAGTAGAGAAATATTAATAGATAAGTGTTGGTTAGACAGAAGGGGAGGGTGGGCTTGTGTAATTTAAGGTATCTCTCCTACCACTGTAGTGATCAAAAATAATTTAGGAGAGTTATTCATATACGATATCCTTTATGTATTTTAGAGGTTTGTAAGAAATAACAATGAACAGTTTTACCCCATGAATTTTTTATTTAAATGCTAAATTGAGAATTACATTGTATAATTTTATATGTAACCAGCCTGAGTTATCAGTCTCACTTTTTTTTTAAATTTCATTGCATTTGCTTATAATTATAATATGATTAGCATTAATCTGATAAATGTGTGCCTTATTGATTAACAGGTAGAAGATATAAACCAAAAATTCAGCAATCTAACCAAACTTGAGGAATCTGGATGGCAAAACACTGATAATACAAGCAAAAAGGTCTTTAGGGTAAGTTTCTAGGTTTTATGTCCAAATTTCTTTTTTTTTTTTTAAGAGATATGTTTTATTTATTTGTTTGTTTGTTTGTTTGTACATGCACTGGGTACAGTGGGAAGCGCGGGAGAGTGAGAGAATTCACCAGAGCCAGAGTGGGGAGCAGAGCAGGCAGAAGGTCCGAAGTACACTGCTGAGGGGAGCAGCGGGCGGCAGGAGAGGTCTGCGCGCCATGTGGGACCCTCCTCCTGTGGCCGGGGAGCAGCCGGGGATCGAACCAGCGCTGCAGAGGCTGCAGGCAGCTACACAACCCAGAGCTCAACCGCTGCGCCACCGGGGAGGCCCCTTATGTCCAAATTTCTAATACAGACTTTTCTACTTTAATTTTTTTATGTTGTAAGCTTTGAAAACATTTAGTTTCAGATTTTTCACCATTTTACAAAGTAAACTCCATGTTTATCCCTTCTTATCTTTTTGTAGTAATGTTTTGAACTCAAAAGTTTCTGGTTATTCCATGTTCTTACAATGTTCTGGTTGCCTTTACAGAAAGAATAAGGAAATGATCAACACAAAATTCAGGATAGTTATTTCTAAAGGGAGAAAGGTAGAGACTGGTTGAAGTGGGGCAACCACCCAGAGGGCTTCTGAGTTACTAAATGCTGGATCTGTGCATGTTTGTTATATCTTTAAACTGTGCTTGCACATTTTATTGTAATAATAGCAGCAGTTGCAATAGGAGATAATTTACATAATGCTTGGCATGTGCCAAATCTTCTTCCATATACCCTACATGTATTAACTCATTCACTGTTCACAACAGTCCTTTGATGTGGGTGCTATTATTTTCATTTTATGGTTGAGGAATCAGAGACCCAGAAACAGTAAATTACTACATTTATTCAGTAATCTTTGTACAACCCAGGTGGAGCTGGGTTTCAGGCCAGACTCTCTCATTCCAGAGGTACGTAATAAACAATACACTATATGCCTCCTCTCTTTTAGGTACTCTTGTAGCTGATAGTATTTCAAAATGAAAGAACTTTTCAAATGGTAAAAATTAGAATATCTTTTTTCTTCCCTATGCTTTATTTTTTTTAATGAAATGTTTATTTTTTAAAGATTTATTTATACATACAAGAACTGGGGTACAGGCCAGAGTTTTGGGGGGTGAGAGGATTCACCAGAGACAGAGTGGGGAATAGAACAGGCAGATTGACTGAAGTACACTGCTGAGGGGAGCAGCTGGTGAGCCAGGAGAGGTCTGCTGTGCTGTATGGGTAGCTCCCTAGTCAGGGATTGAACTCATGCTGCAGTGGCTGCTGCAAGCTTCATAGTTGTCTCTTAACCCCTTGCCCCACCAGGGAGGCACCCTGTACTTTTTCCTATTTTTCTCTGTAAGATTTTTTTTTTTTTTTTTTGGTAGCGTGATAGAGTCCATTTTTACCTTTTTGTAGTAATTCTTTTTCTAGTAATGTTTTGAACTCAAATGTTTCTGGTTCAAGCGGATACTTCTCAAACCACCTTAGGGCATTGCCAGTTTTTCCTTTTAATTTTGGAAAAATGTGTGTGGTTATAAAATCAAGTTTCTACATTGGTATTTTATTATGCTATATACTCCAAATAAAACTCCTTCGAATCCTGCCTTAGGGGAGAGGTTAAAATGTTAAAAGAACCTTACTATGAAAATATTTTGCTACTGAAATCTCAAGACACAGACCCTGAGGACAATAATGAAATTTAGTAAATTTCTAACCTACTATCCGATGAAGGATGCTTGAACATTTTGAAACTACTGTGGGTATTTCTTATTGAGACTTAATCTTGGAGACATTAATTATGTCAGTGGTGCTGGTTGTGATTTTATCTTATTAGAGCCTTGCAATATCACCTCTTATCACCAGGTGTCTCCCTCTTCCTACTTTATTTTATGGGCTACTGTTAGATTTGCTTCATTTATTCAGTAATCTTTGTACTTACTTACATGTCTGTACCTCTCTCCCCTGCCTCTTATTCCTTTGTCCTACATGCAAAGGGTTTTATAATATAGCTATTGCCTGTCTCTTGCCAGCTCTTCTGTGCTTCCTTTTACTTCTGGCTTGGCAAACGTGCTTTTCTCTCTACTCATCCCTTTCCTCATCCCATCTTTTAGCCCAGCTGTGATTGCAGCTTAGTTACTACTTCTTGCCCACCTTTCTTAAGGCCTCTGAAGATTAATTTAGTTGTTAGCCTTGTGTTCTCCTACAGCCCCTGAGTTGAACATGACATTCATCCTTCTTAGTAGCCTTATCTAACTTTTCCACTGTGCAGTGTGAACTCCATAGGGGTAGGAAATTTGTCCTTTATCTTTTGACCTCTTACATGTTTAACACTTAGTTGGAACTTAGTAAATATATTATGAATGTGTTACAATTTTTATGTATGCTTTGTTTTTTTCCTAAAATGACAATGAGTAATTTTAACAAAAACATAATTTCTCCCTGCAGAAAAAAGTTGTCTCAAGTATAGTAAGCAAACCCAAACAGGATGACAGTGGAAGAATTGCAGCAAGAAATCGCCTTGCTGCCATAAAAAATGCAATGAGAGAGAGAATTAAGCAGGAAGAACTTGCTGCCACAGCAGACTCTGCAATGCCAAAAGAAGTTGATAAAATAGTGTTTGATGCCGGATTTTTCAGAGTTGAAAGTCCCGTTAAATCGTTCTCAGGTTAGTTTTTCTGCTGAGTCTACTTAAGGGAAATATTTGGGTTTGATGGGAGCTTGAACAAGAGTGAAAAAGTTTTCACATGAAAGGACATGAATGGTGTGTGATGTCTGGATAGTAAATTACATATTTACAAACACATGCAAATTACATTTTGATGGCTATGATTAGATTATCTTGAATGTGATATATCTTCTAAAATTGCTTTCATATTTTTAAAGTGATTTCATAGCCTTTATTACCACTTAACTCCGCAATCCTGTGAGGGTGGGGCACAGGAGCCTACCAGGTAAAGGGACATGGTGGAAGCATGGGAGCTGGGTGATTTTCTTCAGGTTAGTTGGACTAGAATAGAACATGTAAAGGAAATTTAGGTGGCAAACCATCACACTTTAGCTATACATTAAGGAGCTTATGAAAAATAGGTATGGCTATTTTCATTTGTATTAAAACTTTTGTGCAGGTGTTTTTGAAACATAAGAAATGTACTCATTTTCTAGCAGTGACATCAGTTTTTTAATTTTTCAGGAAGCCATCCTTATGATTTTCTTACTGGGCTTGTGTTTTTCAAATGCTATTTTCATAGACTATCTTTATTAGATTGAATTTTTTTTTTTTTTAACGATTTGCTTATTTATATAAGCACTGGGTACAGTCAGAAGCTTGGGAGGGTGAGAGAATTCACCAGAGCCAGAGCGGGGAGCAGAGCAGGCAGAAGGACCAAAGTACACTGCTGAGGGGAGCAGCGGGCAGCAGGAGAGGTCTGCGCGCCAAGTGGGACCCTCACCCGGCAGCCGGGGATCGAACCGGCGCTGCAGAGGCTGCGGGCAGCTTCGCAGCCCAGTGCATAACCGCTGTGCCACCAGGGAGGCCATATTAGATTGAATTTAAATTGAAATTATTTATCAGCCCTAGAAGAAGTCATGGTGGAAGTAATCTGCTCCTTAAATCTTAGTGGACATTCCTGTTAGTGCTTTAAGTGCTAGATATTTATTTTTGAGAAGAAAGGTGCCAAATCCTCTTCAAGTACTAATCGTTAAAGGACTGTTTCTCCCTGTTACTTAACTGCCCACTAGAAAGTATTCTGAAAATGAACCTAAGCTGCTCTCTAATACTTACATTAAAATATAAGTATCACCTCAAGTATATTATAAACTCCCTGTCAATTTAGGTAGCACACATGGTATGGGGTAGTGTGCTTCTTTTACTCTGAGTGGCTGTCCTCCCTGAATACCTGGGAAGTGCCCACTGCTAATAACATTTCTCCTGGCTACTCACTTCCCACAGATCCCATGGCTTCCACAGGTAGGAAACTCATCACCGTCTATTCTTTCCTATACTCACTTGAGCCCGTATGACTAGGGAGATTAAAATGTATGGCAAAATTGATCATTTTTAGGTTGAGTTTTTGTTATAGAGCACATAGTTTATGTGAGACTTGTTATAAAACAGTGGTCCTCTAAGAAGCCCCACTTGTCACACTTGTCACTCCCTAGAGGCAACCTTTTTCTAGTCACAGCGTCTTAGAGTTTTAAGTTTACTGACCTCTCTCTAAATAAGGTGTAGATTTTTTTTTCCTTTAATTTTCTTTTGGTTTACTCACTTTTGGTTCTTCCTGATCTTTCTTTCAGAAACACATGTTTTTCTCCTGGTAAATAAGCTGCCTTTGTCATTCTTTCTGAGGACTCTATTTTCTGAATGTTCTATGTTATAACATTCTATACTTATTTCATAAGTACACTGTCTTATACTTCTGAGGATATTAATGATAGCTTTTAATATAAGCTTTTTCCCCTTGTATAGTCACTGTTTCTTCCAGGATACTTCTGTCTCTCTAGGGGTATTTTCTATGTCTCATATCAAAGGCTTTCTTAGCTCTCTGGTGTCCATTCACTGCCTGCTGCCAGCTAACATCTGGGTTCTACGTGGCAGCACGTGGTAGAGTCTTTAGCTGGGGGGTTAGCTGGATCTTTAATGCTGGGAACCTACACATAACTGTGTTTCTTTTCGCATGGCCTGGATTTTCCAAAGAAGATTCTTCAGATCTGCTGTCTGGAGAATGTAATTCTATCTGCCGGCCTTTCCAGGGTCATGGCGGGGAGGGGGATGTCTTGATGGTTCATTTGTAAATAGTCATAATTCCTCTATTTTCCACAAAGTACCCTATCTTTCCATTGTACCTGAGACTTTGTTTCATTTTTCCATCTTTCTAATTTGGATGGTCGGCTATTTATACTTGCCCAGCTGTACAGAATGAGGAAAGGAATCTGGATTCAGTTGCACTTTAAACTGATTCTGAACTAGTTCTTTTGCTTTTAGCTCCATTTTTATCTCTGCTTCCAGAGATACTTGAGGTCACCAGTCCTTTTGAGGTGCTAATGGTGTAAGTTGTGTGGATTTCCATCTTTCTTGGCTTGTGTCTGGGTATTTTATCTTGGGACTAAGTAATATGCCATTCACCCATCTACACTGCAGTTTCCATATTTTTCTGATTATTGTTATCTTCCTTAATTTCATTTGTCCTTGTGTGCTGCCTTGTAAGGTGATCTCTGTTACACTTAGAGTAGTGGTGTGTCAAGAAAAGCAATCTAATGTGTGTGTTCAGATAATGTATCTTACTAAAAGTCCCAGGCATTTGACTTAATTTTTTTTTTAAAAAAAAACAGGGAACAGAGCCTAGTTGGTAGGAGAATAGGAAGCAGCTTCCTAATTATAATGAAAAGTAAATAAAATAACATTTTGGTTTCTTTCATATTCTAGGACTTGCTATCTCTTCTGAATGTCTTTCTCAAAGACTTAAAACACCTAAATCTGTCAGCAAAGCTGTGTTTGAGAGCAGGGCTGAGGTGGACCTGCGAAGACAAGCTGTGTTGCCAGAGTATCCTGATCTGCAGAATTCCAAAAACAAATGTGTTGATAAGACTCTTCTATCAACTATTCCTGAAAACAGGTATTTCTTTATGTGTTATTAGGAATTTAACAGATGCTGACATTACATACCATGTCAGATTGTTAACCTGGTGAAATATGTAAGGCATGTATTTTTAATTAAATTTCACAATGACCCTAGAACATATAGACAATATATCTATTTTATAAATGAGGAAACTGAGGCTTAGGATTTCAGATTGGCAAATAGTCATTGATGGGGAGGTAAAATCCTGTAGCACTTTGGGACAAGTTAAGTAACTCACTTAGCTTCAGTTTCATCATCTACAAAACAGTAGTGCTGATGCCTTTCTTAAGGGTCACTTGGAGGTAGGCACTTTTGCACCAATCTTTCTAGAAAGTACCTTGAGATTGTTGTATTAACAGAAGGCAGAGCACAGAAAAGAAGCTGATGTGGATTTATGCAATTATGGGCTAAACATGGTTCTAAATTCATAATGTGTCATCTCATTTAATCCTCCAAACAACTTTGTGAGGTACTAGATCACCATTTTTCAAGTAAGAAAACTTAGTAACTAAAACTTATTTAGAAAGGTAGTAACTTACCTAAATTCAGTTTATACTTGGTGAAACTGGATGCTGTTTGCAGTCTTTCTGCTATAGAGTACTGCCTCTGCATAAAAGCATCAAAATGACCTGGATAGTTCTTGTTCCTGGAACACAAATGTTCTGAAATTTGATGGGAAAAAGATACTTTAAAATAAGTACAGGGCCTCCCCGGTGGCGCAGCGGTTGAGCGCTGGGTTGTGAAGCTGCCCACAGCCTCGGCGGCGCCGGTTCGATCCCCGGCTGCTCTCCAGCCACCAGAGGAGGGTCCCACATGGCGCGCAGACCTCTCCTGCCGCCCGCTGCTCCCCTCAAAGTGTACTTCAGTCCTTCTGCCTGCTCTGCTCCCCGCTCTGGCTCTGGTGGATTCTCTCACCCTCCCACGCTTCTGACTGTACCCAGTGCATGTATAAACAAACAAACAAACAAATAAATAAATAAATAAAACATGCCTCTATTAAAAAAAAAATGGAAAAAAAAAATAAAATAAAACTTTAAAAAAAAAAAAATAAAAAAAATAAAATAAGTACAAATTATAACCTGAAGCCAAGAGAGAACTGTTGGATTTATTAATCTGTAGGTGAACAGCATTGACTACTCATTGTGGCAAGCAAGACTATCAAAAAAAAGAATACCCTATGAATTGAAAGAGGCAAAGCAAATGGAAGTTTTTGTTCTTAATATTTCATGAAACAAGTTTTTAAAATTTTGATTTTTAGTATAAACCAAAGTGTTCTAGTTTTTGTGGGAACTAAAATATTTTGGATGCTCTAGAAATCTGTGGATTATAAAATACCAATTTACTATCATTTCTTAAATGCAAGTTACTTTGTATTCCCTGTGATTTATCATCTTGTAGTAAGATCCATAATTGTATGTATGTAAGTGATATTACAGCTGGTCTTTAAGTTTTTTTTTTTTTTACTTAACACTCAAAAATAGTCCTGAAAGAAAGCATGTTCCAAATGAACAATAATTGTACAATAAAGGTGAAGTCAAACTGAAAACTAGAAAAATAGAGGATAGTTTTTAGAACACTAATTGCAAGAGGCCGAGACATATGTTTTTCTGATAAAACATGCTAAGAACTTCAGGATTAGAATATTTCATGTTGTATGTAACAAATATTGCCAATTCCAGCAATAACTGAGCTATTACTTCAAACCAAGAATATATTTGGTTCGTAAGCTTTAGTCCAAAAAGATTCATATGGAGAAGACCTCCTATTGGAAGACATCCCTCTTTCAGCCAGAAAGGATTGTCTCAAAACAAAGGTCAAATGATAGCAATATGTTTAATTATCTAGACACAATGTTGCTCTTTTTCTTTTTTCAGTGACAGCATTGAAGATGATGCTCAGTGTCCTGGATTGCAAGGTTTAATTGAAGTAAACCCTGTAAGTCCTATTCCCAGGTGGTATATAGCCAGGCATATTATCTACTTTTATTATTGCATATAATAGATGTATTTTATTGCAAATCTAAATAAGTCATATAAAATGACAGTTTTTCTTTCAAAAGCCTTTGACTTATTGGAGACCATAGTGCCATTTTCAACTCACCAAGATTATTTTTATAAAAAAAGTTTTGCTGTAACACAGCCATGCATATTTATATATTATAACAAGCTGCTTTTGCAATACAACAGAATTGAGTGGTTATGGCAGAGACTCTACAGCTCACAAAGCCTAAAATATTTACTATCTGGCCCTTCACAGAAAATGTTTGCCAATCTCTGGAGTATAGGTACTTGCTGAGAAACTTTCCTTCAGTCACGCTTTTGCTATAGTTCTATCTTACTAATTGTTTAAGAAGTAAGAGTAAGATTTACAGTGTTTTTTATCCTATGCCCAGAATGAATCCTTATGTTTTTCTTATTTCTAATAACAGTAAGATTTTTTTCTATTCATTTCCATTTCTGGTAATTAAATGTAGTAATCATTTTCCATTTTTTATTCCAGGATGTAAATATAAGTGACATATACTTTGAAAGGAGTCGTTTATCCAATGAAAGAATGAATTTGTCCCTATTTGCCAGTGAAGTGGCATCTAATATTAATACTAATACAAAGGAAGAAATTTCAGATGCTGTGGAAGGAATGGAACTAAATTCGTCAATTATAGCACAGGATGTTTTGATGATTAGCCCTGAAAAGAATATATTACCACAAGACAATACTTCACAGGAAGAAGAAACTAAAATTTCTCAGTCAGGTGAGATCTTTTTAATATATTTAAATGAATTTTTTAAGATGTATTTATGCATACAAGAACTGGGGTATGGGCCAGAGGTGCGGGATGGGGGTGTGTGAGAGGATTCACCAGAGAGCGTGGAGAGCAGAACAGCAGATCTACTGAAATACACTGCTGAGGGGAGCAGCGGGCAAGGCAGGAGAGGTCTGCTGAGCCATAGTGGGTAGCTCCCTGGCCGGGAATTGAACTCATGCTGCTGTGGCTGCTGATAGCTTCATAGGTTGTGTCTTAACCCTTTGAGCCACCAGAGAGGCCCTTAATTGAAATTTTGTAAAACAAATGAACTTGAACTAATATATAAATTATCGTAAATACTTCTGGATGTCTGTTTTTTGAGAATGAAGAATGAAAAATCAGATACTCCCAGTAAGCATCTTACAAGAACTAGTTTGTGTTATAATACACCATTCTCTACCACAAACTTTTTGAGGTAGACTTATCAAAAATCAACAAACCCACGCTGGATAGAAGTAATATTTAGGGATCCTTTACTCTTAATAAGGTTTCAGAATTATAAAAATTCCCTGAAGTTTTTTCAGTTCTTCTTTTCGACATACATACTCAAACCTTCCTTCAAAATGCCCTAATTTTTCTTCCCTAGTGCTTTTCATACCTACTTTGTTGTGATTGTTTTTCAGTAGGAAATGACTCATGTGTTTTTGTTACAGTGTATGATAGTCTCATCTACTCTCTGGGACTGCAGTGATTAGGGCAAAATAAATATAATCTTGGCAAGACATTTGGTGCTCTCCAACTATGTTCTTCATATAGTCTTTTGGGGTACATTTACTATGACAAGAGTGAGCTTTGTTTATGGCACACTTATTGAAATTAAGGATGAGGTTTTTATTAAAAATGTTTTAGCTAAAGATGACCTTTATTTTTCTCCTAGTGTTTGATATATGTAAATTTTTTTTAAAAGATTTATTTTTATTCTTGAATACAAGAACTGAGGTGTAGGCCAGAGGTGGGTGTGTGAGAGAATTCACCAGAGACAGACTGGGGAGCAGAACAGGCAGACTAAGTGAAATATACTGCTGAGGGGAGCAGCAGTTGAGGCAGGAGAGGTCTGCTATGCCATGTGGGTTAGCTCCCAGGGGATGGAACTCAGGCCTTAGTGGTGATAGTGCTGAGACTCAACCCCTGTACCACCAGGGAGGCCCAGATATATGTAACTTTTCATAGCTTTCAAGAGGTCATCTATTTCTAACAACCTTTGAGAATATGCTTTAAAAAGTTCTTTTTTTTTTTTTTGTCTTTCAGTACCATTTGATAATAAAATTCTCACTACTGAATATCATCTTCTCGATTCTGTAAGTTTTCCAACTTAATTTGCAAAGTTCCTTTATATTCTAGATTTGTTTTATGAAATATTACTAATTTTAAAATTCATGTGCAAAGTTTAAAATTTACACCTTGCCATTATTTACTCAGAAATCCATCCATTATCCATTCTTATCTAAGTGGGAACACAATTTAATGTTTATTTGATTTTGAATATAGTAGGTTTTAGTATTAAGCACTGAGAATTATTTCCCTATATGATTTGTGTATCACATTGGTTATGACAGTATATTTGAATATCTAATAATGTGACTTAGACTACACTAGGTATTTCTAATTGTTACAAGAAACTTACAAGGCAATGTTTCTGCCCATCTGAAGCACACAGTTGGGAAGATAATATCTATCCAATCTTCAGTCATCACTGTTTTTTTTTCATTGTAATTTTTTTAAGATTATTTATGCTCTGCTATTTTATTTATAAGTTCCCTAGCCTTTGAATTTGGTGACCCCTTGTCTCTAAATCTAGTCTTTTAGTTCTTTAGCTATTCTGTGAAGTCTTCCTATAAAACCTCTCTTCTCTCCCATGTTAATTTATATTTAGGCACAAGTAATCATGGGCATGTAAGGCATACAATGCACACATTTAATCATGAATTAAGATAACAATGTGAATATATTAAAATCATAAAGCATAATTTAAGGAATCTATTTCTCTTATTTACTATAAATTCCTCTTAAGGCAGAACTGTCTATTCACCTTCCTGGATGCTGGAACTGTGACGTGAATGAAATAGTATTCTCTTGTCTACTAAGTATTTACAACATTGGTTTTCAGTCTCTCCCATATATCTTTATTTCAGGGAATCTCAAGTCGGACCTTCATCGGGTGATTTTAATATATGCCAGTGTTGACAACTCTGGTTTACAAAACCTTACCTTGAATTTTTCCAGGGCCAATTGCTAAAATAGGTCAGGGAATGGCCCTGGTTTACTAATCTTTGATTTCAGAATATAACAAATTCATTAAGGCAAATGTGAGATCAAACAGCAATAATTTTTTCTAATGTCACGAAACCTGGCAAATACCAGACTTCCTTAAGCCACTAAATCCTTAAAAACCTGTGTATAACTTTACTTTCATTATCTTTCAAGGATGTCTTCTGTGTGTTCGGACTTCTGGGCTGCCCTGTGTCCCAGGAGCAGAATGAGTCACGTTATAACCCGCCCTCTGTTCTTTCTTGTTCTTAGCCTCCTTTAATCATAGACTGAGACCTAGAGGGTTAGGCACTTCAGCATCAGGGCCATTTACATAAACCCAATTTAATCCTGTTATTTCCAGATCTAATCTCTGAGTGATTGGTTCTGATAATATAGTATATGGTAATAATAAGTAAATCTGGAAATTAATTCAATACTGTTTTTATATATTGCTAATGATTAAAAATGCGTCACGTTTATCTTACACATTATCTTTTAATAAATCTTAGAACCTTATCATTTCATCTCCCTTTGATTTCTTTTCCACTTCCATAAATATTAGAATTTAGATTTATTTTTAAAATAGGTCCACCTGTCTATCTTAGGCTAAAGTTACTGTTCTATAGCATCATTTCAATCTGAAGTGGGACTTGGGGAGGAGCAAAAAAACAGATCCCAAGAGAATTAGATTGGTAAAAGGCCTATTAAATGTTATATGGAATAGGATTTGTGGAATCTGTTTACATGACTAAGATAGGGCCTCAATTTTAATTGTCCTGCCTATGCTGTTGAAGTCATTTACATATTGCTAATCACATTTTTAGCTTGCATTCTTAATACATTTTTTCAATTTAAATTATATTTGAAGTTAGATCCATAGAATAGGTAGCGTAATCATTACTAGTAATTTTATTGTTACATGGGAAAAATGTTTTTATGTTATTAAAGAGTCAACTATTAAATTGCAGTGTTAATTGGTGAAACTCTCAATATACTTTGGTGACTTCTCTGATTTTCTTCTCTAGCCTGGCCTAGACACTACAGTAATCCATTCACAAGTGGAGAAGAGACATCAGGAATATGCCAGAAACGTTTCTTTTGGTGGTAACCTAATTACCTTTTCACCTCTAAGACCCCTCAATGGAGAACAACAAGAAGAACTTTAAATTTAAAATCAAACATTTTTCTTTATATTATCAATGCTGTGATTTATTCTTAGACTATTGAAAAGTTTAAGACTGTATTTGTATTCATTTCATTTATATAGGTCATACAGTGTTTTAATATAGTTTATCAAAGTGTGTTTTAATTGTGATACTCTTTCTGGAGGGAAGTGGGGTATATTTTTGTACACCAACCATGCAGAATAAAAATATGGTGCCTTGCCTCCCTTGTTTAAAGCTAAGTTTAAGAACTTACAAACATTCTTCAGCTTAATCAAAATAATATTAAACACGGATAGAAATATTTGCGTACTTTACACTGTATTCTTAGTTTGAGCTCTTAAATTTGATGATGTTGAAGAGTTTGACATACTGTATTTGCCAGGCTATATGAAATTTCTTTAGATGAGCTCTCTGGATCCTGAAATCAGTTTACACGCTGCAGTTCAAATGCTTACATTATTAGAAGTGCTCATTAAATTCATGTCTTTTTCTTTTCATTTTCTCGTTGACATGGCTGACAGCCTTTGAAGTAAATGTCTCTCTCTGAGAGAATTCTATCAATACTTAATGTATTTGAAATGTTTTCGCTTATAAAACTCTTACCTGTCAAATTGTAGAAGATAGGGCCAGTAGAATAACAGAGCACCAAGAAAATTCAGAGTAGCTGTAATTTCTAACCATACCTGGGTCTAGTTATTTGTTTCAGCAGGATTTGAGGCTGCAGATATTTACCAAACAAGTAGTAACTTTGTGGGTAGCCCCAGAAGATGAGAGGTTTTCAAACAAGGAAAGGAAGTACATCGCCTTTGGTTGTAGGCTTGCTGTGGATAGTATCTATTAAATCCATGTGAGAGGGCCTCCCCGGTGGCGCAGTGGTTGAGCGCTGGGTTGCGAAGCTGCCCGCAGCCTCTGCAGCGCCGGTTCAATCCCCGGCTGCTCCCCGGCCACCAGAGGAGGGTCCCACATGGCGCGCAGACCTCTCCTGCCGCCCGCTGCTCCCCTCAGCAGTGTACTTCGGTCCTTCTGCCTGCTCTGCTCCCCACTCTGGCTCTGGTGAATTCTCTCACCCTCCCGTGCTTCTGACTGTACCCAGTGCTTGTATAAATAAATAAATAAATCTTAAAAAAAATAATAATAATAAAAAAAGAAAGAAATTTCTAAAAATAAATAAATAAATAAATCCATGTGAGAAGTTGTGGGCTATATGAGGTACAGGCTTAGAAGAATGTTCTCAGGGGGCCTCCTTGGTGGTGCAGGGGGTTAAGTCTCAGCACTATGAAGCTATCCACAGCCATGCAGCGCGAGTTTGATACACGCATGGCGCAGCAGACCTCTCCTATCTTGCCTGCTGCTCCCCTCAGCAGTTTATTTCAGTAGATCCCCCTTTTCTGCTCCCCACTCTGTCACTGGTGAATCCTCTTAGCCCCCCAACCCACACCTGTAGCCTATACCCCAGTTCTTGTATGCATAAATACATCTTTTTTTTTAAAAAAAAAAAAGAATATTCTCAGAATGCCTAATCTTAAGATTTTTTAAGAGTCCAGGGCCATGAATATGTAAAATAGGTTGGTGCAAAATAACCCAAGACTTAGAATCTTTATAAATCAATATACAACATAATATTTGCCCTCAAGGGTAAAGTAGTTGAAAATAAGACAGTGTCATGAAACAATTTTGGGGCGGGAAGAGGTTAATAAGATGTGCTATTGCTTAGAAAACTTTTGACTGTTAGGTCAGTTTGAGTTCTTTTTATTATTACTAAATAAGAAAATGTGTTATTTCACAAGCTGTAAGGTTGATACCAGGCATTTGATCAGTTCAATGATAGCATCAAGGTCCAACATTCTGCTCAAAGTTAATTCACTCATTCTTGGTATTGGTTTTTCCTATAAGGCTGGGTACTCCTGGAGTCAGAAAATGGCTGGTAGTGGCAATCAGAGTTACCATCTTCCCTTTGGTCTGGTTATGCCAACTAATGCCCTATCTTCAACTGTAGGTCAGTAAGTGTCAGAAGGAATTGACTTAAACTGATCAGAATTCCCTACTGAATCTGGGGTCATATGGCAATAAAACCATGACTTTTAGGAAGTGGGAAATGGATGTTGGATAGGCAGTTATCAATGTCCCCTACAACTGGATAGAGTGTTCTTGAGCAATTGGAGTCCAGAATTATGAGGTATTTGGAAAATCTTTAAAGACAAAATGAAAGAAAATTGCTTTGGATAGAATAAGAACCTTTCCAAAATTGAAAGGGAATTTGCATTTATTGAGAATCTACTATATGACAAGTCCTTTGCAAACTAGTCAATGATTACAGTAACCCTGCAAAAGAGATTATATTGCCCATTTTACACACAAAGGAACCAAGGTTCAGAGGATTTATTTTGTGTAAACCAAATGCTATCTTTTCCCCAAACCTTGCCTTCCCATTTATTTAACAGTCAAAACCAGAATGTTCCAGTTGCCGGAAGACCTGCTAGTAGATAGCCCTCAGCTATCATTCTAGGTTAGGAGAGCCACTTTGCTGTAGTTCACACACTCTTTCCCAGGTAGCCTGAATTCATTGACTAAAGTGAGGATATAGGGATCTGTACCCCTCAGCACTCTAACAGGTCATTCCAGCCTCACAACCCCTGCAGGTGGTAGAGTAGGATGAGGCATCAATTCTCACTCAGTTCCCTCTGCCCAATCCTGAACCGGCTGACCCCGCAGCTGTCAATTCTGAAGAGCACTCCTTCAGAATTCTTCCTGGATAACCCAACCTGTGACAATTACCAATTTAAATGATTTAAGATATTGTAGAAACAATATTTTGGTGGTGTTACCACATCCTAGTTTTGAAATTTTATTCATCTTTGGGCTTGCTGGTAATAAAAGGGCAGAAAAGCATGTTTAAGGATGTTCATCAAAGGAACTATTAAATTTTTGAAACTGATGATAAAGCTATTTTGTCTCCTTAACAAATCTGGCAATTTCATAAAAACCAAGAGAACCGGGCCTCCCCGGTGGCGCAGCGGTTGAGCGCTGGGTTGTAAAGCTGCCCGCGGCCTCTAAGGCACCGGTTCGATCCCCGGCTGCTCCCCGGCCACCTGAGGAGGGTCCCACATGGCGCGCAGGCCACTCCTGCCGCCCGCTGCTCCCCTCAGCAGTGTGCTTCGGTCCTTCTGCCTGTTCTGCTCCCCGCTCTGGTGAATTCTCTCACCCTCCCGCGCTTCTGACTGTACCCAGTGCTTGTATAAATAAATAAATCTTTAAAAAAAAAAAGAACCTATGGGAAGATAGTCTCATATCAATATCAAATACTGATTTGAAAGCAATGAACTGTAAATCTAGAGAGAGAAAATAAGATTTAAAAGGAGTCAAATATACCAGAATGCTAGTAATTATGAGTCATGGGTCATCTATGGGTAAATTTTTTCTTTTTGCTTTTCGTATTTCCTGAATGTATTTATGTAAGTGAGAAAACAGAATGATTTCCTTGGTTTTTATGAAACTGGAAGATGGGCTAATTTTTGCATAATATTTACTCTTATTTCCTTAAAATATTTAGCAAGTCCAGAAAACAATGGGAGACTAGTGCAATATTAATATTGTTACTTCTTTTTCCATTGAGAATGCCACATTATCTAGAATAAACAGCCTCAATAAAGACAGGTAACTTTTAGAATAAGTTTATTAAATGGATGATTTACAAGAAGGATGTTCACTCAGAACATAAAATTCAAACATGGAAGGTTACATTCACCTTCATTTTTTTTTTCAAAGTATCCACACCTTCTAAAATTATATCATAGTGTGGGTAACACTGGTGAGGTCTATGTCACCAGAAATTCCCACTTTGCTAATTTCCTGGAGGTTTCTCATCCTATGATTGTACTGCAATAAGTGAGCGTCATTGACAGCAACCTTGTAGTTTTCAGGTTCAACCAGTACTTGTATCTGAAATATCACAAACACAGAATTGTTAGAAATGTACATTAATTTCAAAACCAGTCTGATCTGAGTTCAAGATGTCCAACATCTCATCTTTATGATCATTTGTGGAACCGATAAAGTTGAGAAAAAGTAATTTTACAGCAAAAATAAACTCCAGATTATTGCAAGATTTAAATAAAATTGTTAGAATACTATATAAGTGAAGTCAAAGGAAAAGACTAATGATTTGTCTACCAAAAATGTTTTTGTATGGCCTAAAACACCTAAAAGTAAAAATAAACTCTAAAGTAATAATCTAATAGAATGACAAATGTTACAAAGATTGATAATATCTTTGGCAACATACTCTTCCAATACATATATCCCTTTGGAAGCAGCAATTTGGCAATATCCAAATTTTAAAATGTACATTCTTTGAATAAAATTCCTTTTGGCAGCAAAGATTTATGAGGATAATTATCACAGTATTTTAATAAAATAAATCTTTCCCCCCGGTTTTGTTTGAATATTTCCATACTGAAATTTTCATCAATAAATTACCACATAAGTAGACAACAAAATACTAAGTGATAATATTATGTTTGGAAAGATATCCACCAAATGTAGAATATGGTCCCCATTAGTCTCTGCCCTTGAGGAGCCCAATCTAGCTGTTTTATTGCTAATTTTACCCTAACCCAACACTGTGGACCTGATTAACATTTGTTGAATCAGTGCTTTAAAAATTGTTTTATGTCAACAGAAAATACTGGAAAGATATTCACCAAGTTACAACCTTTGTGAAGGTGGAGGGAGGGGTAAAGGATGAAAAACTTTAATTTTAAAAATCTACAAATTTTTCTTTGCATAAAACTTGTATATATTAATTTTAAATTTTAAAAAAGTTTTGATCGCCATGCCAACTTGTACCATAAAGACATTTTCCTTTTTTCTTTTTTTGTAAAGAGTCTATATTTCTCATTTCCAAAAAAGCTAAACTCAGAGGAGTGAGGGGCCTGAATGGATCTGGGGGTGAACCATTCCCAGCATGTTCTAACTTGCTAGGTCTGGTCTCATGGATAGGTGGAAGTAATGATTAGTTGTCCCAGGATAGTTGATAAAAATTGATTTCAAATGTGCTGAGGTTTTAGCGTGGTTCCCTATGAGCAGTAGATGATATTATTATATAATAGTAGCAATAACTTACTTTGAAGGGTTTACCACTTTCAAATGGGAAAGCAGACTGTCTTTCTTCCTTTCCCCAGACATTATCCTGCTTTGAATTGCAAACGATGACCCTCTTGTTGTCCTCATTGAAGCGTGGGTTAAAGTGGAAGGCAACATCATTCCCTTTCTTGAAATCCAAAACAAGTCTGTTTTAAACCAAAGACCAAGATTAGTAAAATGACCCAATTTGTATAATTGCATTAAGTGAAGAACATACAATCTAAAGAGCAAAGCATTTTACAAAATCAAGGGAAATTTTCTAAATGGAAAGCAAATAAACCAGAGAATAGGTTCCAAGTGGTAAAGATGCTAGGCCAAGTATTCTATGTACTACCATAGTATTTAAAAGCAAGCAAGGCAGCAAAGGTATGGCAGGACTGAACGCTGTGTTTGAAAGAAATAGCAAATCATCTGATAAGTGAAGAAACAGCCCTTTTTAAATGCCAGAGATTTACCCCATCACTCTTACTTAAAACCCTCCCCTCCCAGATGGGGCTCTCTTGCAAAGAACTGGTCCATAAACTTGCCAGGTAACCAAAGATGGGTCACCAAAAAGGAAAAAGGACAATATATTATATAAGCAAAGGTTAGAAAAATGACAGCAATAAAATTTTTCTATAAACAATTCATTAAGTAAACGTTGTCATGGAACAGAAAAACATTGTAAACATTCTACCATGAGATTAAAAATAATTACAATGGTGAACTAATCAGACAATGAAGGGAAAAAGTTCAAAGCAGGAATATAAGAACTCAAGCAAGATCTGGCCATAGCCCATAAAAGTGGAAGAGAATTGACCAATAAAAAAGAAGAAAGGAAAAGCTGACCATCCAAGAGAATAGAACAGTCTAAATGCTCAATGTCTGTACCTGGGCTTTTTTTTTTTTTTTTATCTGTTTGTCCACTCGTGAACCAGTAACATGTTTTCTTTATTGGTTTAACAGATCTTATAGGCTACCATTCCCTCATTGTTATTGAAAAGAAAAAAATAAGACAACATATGTTGAATATTTTTGCCTGTTTGTCTTTCGTCACATCACTCTATACAGTCACAATGTCCTCCTCACTGCCTCTACTCATGAAAACCCTTAAGATTTCCTAATAGAGGTTCAGAGCCACTTAGAGGGCACATTCTGCCTTCCATTGCAGATAATATTGTATACCTCCTTCCTGCCAAGGTTGCTTTTAATACCTAGTAAACACAAGCCAATCACATAAATATGAGCTATCAAATACCTGGGTTTTGCCGCAGTTAACCAAAAGCGTAGTCCTTCTAAAACAATAAGAATAAGCTAACATAATAGTTAATGTTCAGTATCCCGTTGCTACCTTGTAAAGTCATGACAATAAATGGGTTAAACATTCCACCATGTAAAGTCGAATTAATGGAAGTGCACGCTTCAACTTCTGATCTGGTTCTTTCTTGGATGCTAAGCAAACACAAGTCCTTGCTAAAGGACTAACTCTGTTCCTCTGTTTCTCAGTGTGCTTGCTCCACAGAGCGCTAACATCAGAATCAGCTGGTGCTCTTGATTTAACACAAGGTCTACACTCTAGACTACTAACAAATGATCCTCTGTATTTTGATTCACTCAGTAACAACAAATGCAACCACAAATGTATCTTCCAGTGATTAAATTCACAGAGGAAGGATGAAGATAGTCACTTGACAATGGAATTTATATTTGATTAATATCTAATGGCTACATTTCTTCTGCAGTGGAAAGGAAGTTATGGTTATCTCCACCACCTTAAACATTCCTCTGCCCCTCCCTCCATTGTAATTCTTCACATAGCATTTGCAAAAACAAGGAACAATTTTTTCATTTTACTATCACCCTAACCATTTCAACCAAAAGTAGCTTTGATCTACCAGTCTCAGTCTACCAGCCCCGTCTACATCGCTAATGTTATTGGAGCTTAAGTTTCTAGTACAGTAACCCTAAATAAGGCACAGGTACCGGTGTGGTTCTATAGGATAGGGGTTGTGGGAGGAGGAAAGCAGATATGAATAAAGTGTACTGCTATGTGAACAGGATAAATGCGTGAAGTTCTGTTATGTTGGGAGGAAAATGGCTAAAGGCCGAGGTAGAGGGTAGAGTATGTTCTATAGCTTGCTGTGAGGGAAATACTGTGCTCACAGAAACTGCATGGCTGAGTGGAAAGAAGAGTTGGTTTAGGGTAATTACTACCTGGTAGAACCAGAGGAGGCTGGCTGGAGGTGGAGTCAAGGGCAATTTGAATATAAAGGGATCAGATCAGAGGCTGAGTCCCTCTCCCCATAACAGGGCTCTTGGTGATTTACCTGACCCAGTGGACCCTGACTCTGCTCTTGTACCCAATGTGAAGATGGAAGTGACAGCTGAGATGCAAGATCTGAGACTACACTGTGACCTATACAGTTGCAGGGAGATTTGTATAAATATGAGGACAGAGCAGTAACATATTCAAGCTATCAGAGTATCTTGGAACTATATCCCGTGGAATCTTTTTTTTTTTTTTAACCCTAACCTTTGCTGGGCATCTAAACAAAGTACACACTGGGTATTTTAGACACTTTATGACTCAGAAGTGGAGTGATGGCCAAACATTACCTTACAAAGGCCCAATTTGCCTTTAATCCTAAGAATTTCACTGACAGGAGGAACCAACAGAATGGGTCTTTCTGCCCTCCCTCTTTGTCCTCACAAAATAGAATTTTGTTTTCTTCTGGTTCTGGGAGAAAAACAAGATTTGGCAAAGGAAACCTTGTCCCTTGGGGGGAAACATATACTGACTTATGGGCTAATGCCATACTATGGTATTACCAAGATTCTAAATGCACAGTTTTAAAAAATTTATTAAAGTTGAAAGTATAATTTTTATTCAAAAACCAATCAACGCGTATGTTAGATTTGTTAGTTTTACTCTACCTGTTTGCGTTGGGCCTTACTGTGCCCATAATTGTTATCAGCATGCGGGGCACAACTCCACTAGGCAAAGTCAGGTCATAAGGCACAGTCTAGGAATGAAAAATATTTGTGTTAGCAAAGAATCACGTTTTCTTAGTGAATGAAAGAAAAAGATGTCACTAAAGCTCAATTACTATTTTTTTTTTCAATTACTATTAACATGTGTGAATAACACATATTTAAGCCATCTGTCCAGACTTCCAGGCTATCTTGCCCAGGGCTTGAAGAGATAAGTCTCCCTACATGCACTACTAATAAGTGAAAATAAGGTCATCAGTAAATTGGTGTCAAAAGCACAACACAATCTCTTTGGGAGCTCTGAGGCTCTCAACACAAAGGCCATCCCAATCTATAACTCATTCCTATGGATTATTTTTTGGAAAGGCTGAAGCTAGACCTTGCAATCCACATTAACATTTTTATGCCACTCTTCACATAACGCCCTTCACCATGGCTATGCTGCTCTCTGAGAGCAGAGGCTATTTATGCCAATTCTACTTAGCCCCACAAGGCCCTGATCACACTCCACTATAGAACTCTTTCCTCCTGTCTACAATCTGTTTTCCAACTAGACTGTTACCTGTGTCTGGGATGGCTCTGGATCCCCAGTTAGGGTTTTATGCTTAGAATCATTGACTACAATGTGTTCACTGTATAGATATCCAATCCTTAACTCACAAAATTGTCTTTAGAAGGTTTTTCCAAAATCAGATTTTCTTGGTTACACCAAATGTTCCCTCTTATTGTAACAGGGTGGTCCCTAGGAAAGGGGGAGGTTCCAGGTTTCCTGCCCCACCCAAGGAAGGGTGGAGCTGAGCAGGAAGAGGAGAAGCGGCAGAAGAGACTGAGGAGGGAAGCAGGATGGAGCCAGGAGACCTGGAGGAGGCGCATGGAGCCTAGAGACACGTGAAGAAACGGTGCTTGTCTTTTGGTCGTGGACTGGGTGACACAGATGTGGGTGAGACCCATGGGGAGGTGACAATGGCAGCTTTTATCTTGATGTTGATTTTGCTCTTTTCCTTCCGGGCTTGTCTGCTTGTTTCTGACCATTTTCTGTGGGTCCCCACTGGAAGATGCTTTAGACTCATGGCAGGCTTTGGGGCCTTGCTCTGGGCCAATCCCATTTGGATGGACTTTTACCCACGAGGGGACGGGTAACTTTGGGTGCTTCACTTAGAAACTAGACTCTTTGCCTTACCTGTATTGTTTCCTAGTTTTATTAAAGTTCCTTCCCATTAAAGTGTCATATGTTTTGTGTTGATGCGGCGGATGGCAGAACCCATTTAGAATAGGCAGGTTTGCGGGGTTTTGGGCTGCCCCTCTCCCTGTCCTATAACATTATAATCCTGGACCACTTATGAAACTCTCTATTTCCCCACTTTCTTGGGTGTATGTGAGAATAATGAATGCTTATGGGGTTAAGCACACTGCTGGCATGTGGTATATAATCGTTGTTTATTAACACTGGTGACCAAACTTCCTACTACTATGGTCTTAACTAGATTCATATTAAGGTAAAGCTGCATTATAGCTGCCTTCAAAAGAGGTATTAGCTTCTCTTTACACTCACAGTGTAACAGGGTGATCCCCAGGAAAGGGGGAGGTTCCAGGTTTCCTGCCCCACCCAAAAGAAGGGTGGAGCTGAGCCCAGAAAGAAGCTGCAGAAGAGACTGAGTAAGGAAGAAGGCAGGATGGAGAGCAAGGAGGAGACCTGGAGGCGGCACATGGAATGGAGAGACGTGTGAAGAAACTGCGCTTGCCTTTTGGTCGTGGACTGGGTGACACAGATGTGGGTGAGAGACCCGTGGGGAGGTGACAATGGCAGTTTTTGTCTTGATTTTGATTTTGCTCTTTTCCCTCCAGACTTGTCTGGTTGTTTCTGATCCTTTTCTGTGGGTCCCCACTGGAAGATGCTTTAGACTTGGGACAGGCTTTGGGGGCCTTTTTCTGGGCCAATCCTGGTTGGGTGGACTTTTACCCATGAGGGGACGGGTAACTTTGGGTACTTGATTTAGAAACTAGATTCTTTGCCTTTCCTGTATTGTTTCCTAATTGTATTAAAGTTCCTTCCCATTAAAGTCTCATATGTTTTGTGTTGATGCAGCGGATGGCAGAACCTATTTAGAGCAGGCAGGTTTGCGGGGTCCGGGGTGCCCCTCTCCCGACCTGTAACAACAATACACATGCTAAACTCAATATGCACAACAATTTTTTCACTGGACCAACATATATTGTAGCTGGCTCTTGAAAAGAGGATCTTAGCTGTGAGTTTAAAGTTTTAGGGCTCCCTGAAGCCCAGACAGGTCAGTGCTCAGAGCCAGCTATGGCCAGAGTGCAGCCTTAGCTTTGTCACAGTCAAGCACACCAAGTGACTAACTCCAACTCACCAGTGGTCCAGAAGGGGAACCAAAGGGGCCGGCAGCAGGATAGGCTCCAGGAGCACTTGGTTGTCCAGGAGATGGGTAGGCCCCAGGTCCACTTGGTTGTCCAGGGTAGGCTCCTGGTGCATTTGGTCCAGGATAAGCGGGTGCTGTTGGACCAGGGTAGGCACCAGGGGGTCCCTGTCCAGGGTAGGCCCCAGGAGGTGCCTGTCCAGGGTTGGTACCAGGAGGTGCCTGTCCAGGGTAGGCCCCAGGAGGTGCCTGTCCAGGGTAAGCACCAGGAGGTGCTTGTCCAGGGTAAGCCCCGGGAGGTGCCTGTCCAGGGTAGGCCCCAGGAGGTGCCTGTCCAGGGTAGGCTCCAGGATAAGCAGCCCCTGGGTAGCCCCCAGCCCCAGGCTGGTTTCCCCATTGAGGGTATCCTTGAGGGTTTGGGTTTCCAGACCCAGATACGGCATCATTAAGCTGAAAAGAAAGACACAAATCATTACTGGATAGTCACAAAAACAGAATTAAAAACAAAACAGGAACATGTTATCTATGAAGCAGAGGGATATGGTGAAAGTATGGAACTCATATCAATTAAAATTTCCCCCTGTTAACTAATTTTGCATTCTGAAGACTGAAGTTAGACTTTGGGATTACATATGCATCATTGTGCCTCCCTTAATCTCAGATCCAGTGGGCCACATTTTTATATTTTGCTGAAGCTGGGAGATAGCCATCTCCAAGGTGCAAGCACATGCTTTCTAAATGACATGAAGGAGACAGTCACTGAAGTTGTGGGTGCCCAGATTGCCCCACAATCCCCAGTGCCCTCTCAGCTCCTGATGGCGGAATCCACCACTTCATTTCCAGGCCTTTCCGCAGAGGTGGGGACTGTTAGTCCAGGCCTCTCCCACCTCGCTTTCTTCCTGAAGCTGTTACTAGAGAAACAAGACCCGCTCTAACAAGCCCCCATTAGACAGGTGGGGGCAGAGGAAGCCATGTGGTGGGAAAAGTCATGGGGGAAGTTGGGCGTAAACACAAATCCCCAATCTATGTGGAATGTGTATTTGAATAAGACACAAAATACTTACTGAAAAACTGTCTGCCATTTTCCTACAAAGAGAAAAAAAAAAGTTATATTTGATCTAAAAAGATTTTGCTGATTTCCATTTACACTTAACATCATAAATAGTTCATTGTGTACTTCTAGCCAATCCCAGGCCTTTCTTCTAACACAAGCCAGTAAGTTCTGACAATACGCCTGGAGCAATACCGTGGAACCACAAGAATGTCTCCTGGAAGGGTGGGGATGCACTGCTGCTGCATTACCAGCCCGGTTTAACTCTTGACTTACTCAAAATCACTCTGGCCTGCGTTCTGAGGCCTGGGAATAGCAGGTCATAGGCCATACAGCAGAAGGAAGAAGAATGAAGGAAAGAGTCTTCCCCTTTGCCGGGTGAAAAGTGTAAAAATGCCTGGTTTGTCACTGGCTCTCCTTCACCTTTCTTCCCATGCTCTCTCTCCCACATCTCTCACACAGCATTCAGTGTGTAAATATTGCCCAGCTCCCCTTCTGTTCCCACTAACAGCCCCAGGTCATTTTTGGTTTTAGGAGGAAAGCAGAGCTGGTTGATTACAAGGGACAATGCTTCCCCAAGTAGTTGCTGCCTGCCGATGTTTTCCTTCTTTTGCATATATGCTATGTCTGCAATGGGCCCTGCAGGCACGGTACTGGCTCCTGATGGGACATCAGGACAACGGGCCAAGAACTGCATGATCAGAGGAACCACTGCCCAGCGGGGCCCACACAACACCGTGGAAAGTCATAACTTTATGTTATGCCGAAGACGGGAATAGATGGTGTTGTTTGAGCTAAGCCTCCAAGGAGAGGTAAGATTTAGATGTGGAGCAAGGAAGCAAAAAGGCAAGTACAAGGTACTCTTTAAAAAGATATTTGTTGTTCCGACAAAAGTCTCTGGCAGCATCACAAGCTAAGATTAAAAAAAGAAAAAGACTGGGCCTCCCCGGTGGCGCAGCGGTTGAGCGCTGGGTTGCGAAGCTGCCCGCAGCCTCTAGAGCACCGGTTCGATCCCCGGCTGCTCCCCGGCCACCTGAGGAGGGTCCCACATGGCGCGCAGACCTCTCCTGCTGCCCGCTGCTCCCCTCAGCAGTGTACTTCGGTCCTTCTGCCTGCTCTGCTCCCCGTTCTGGCTCTGGTGAATTCTCTCACCCTCCCACGCTTCTGACTGTACCCAGTGCTTGTATAAATAAATAAATAAATCTTTAAAAAAAAAAAAAAAAAAAAAAAAAAAAGAAAAAGACTAATTATAATAAAGAAAAATTAAAATCAACAAGCAACTGTAAACCAGAGATACACTGGGGTGGTGGAGGGGTGGGAGAGGAGGGATTAGGGTCAAAATAAGGGGGGGTGCAATTGTATGGGGAATATAACCAAAATGAAAATGCATACATTATGCAAAAATGAAAAATGATGTAAGAATTATATAAAATAAAAAAAAAAGAAGTCTGGCAAAGTGGGGGAAATTATTTTGGTTACAACACTGCCACAGAGAGTTTGCCTTGTCGAAACTGCCTGGAGGGGTGGTCTTCCAGCTTCCTCCTGCTCCTCCTCCTTTCCTGGAGCCAGGTTCCTAAACTTCCAGATGTTTTACGCCTTCCAGATGTTTTCACCTGCTCCAGCTAAGGGCTACCCATCAGTGAGTGCCTCCCAAGGTCCCCCACCCCTGCATTGCCAGGCTGTTTTTAAACCTTAGTTTATGATGCTGCTGATACCAGAATTGTCAGGCCTAGTCTCCCAGCCGGGATAGGATTTCAGGCTGCAGGGCAGCGCTGAGCCCCAGCCACTAGACCCCCACGGGTTGGTGTCTCACGAAGCCGCAGCAGGAACTTCGCAGACGCTCAGGCAAGCAAGCGAGAAGAGACAGGTTTGTTTAGAAGAAAAAGTTTATTGAGGAGAAAAAGAGCAGAAATAAAGTGGGACTCCCAGGCCAGGGAACCAGGCCTGGGAGGGGCAAGGAAGCCAAAGTAGAGTCGTGTCTTAGGGAATATATACCTTTTTTCCCTCATTATTCTAAAGCTCCACCAGTCTCTTTGTGATTGGTTAGTTCTCGGCTGTCTCACTCAATTTGCTACTGAGTGGGGATCTTCACATTCCTTATCTAACAGGTTTCTCTTTCCCCATTTGTTGCATCTTTAAATTTATGGCCCAGTCTTCTGGATGGGCATCCCTGCATTGAAGTTAAACAGCTGCCCTTTTAATGTGACCATAAATTAAACCACTCTCCATTTCTCCAATCTCCGCCTCCCTTTATCACCTGAAGGAAACCAGGACCAGCATTAACAATGTTGTCCTTGGTCCTGGCATGTTTGTTTTCCTAATGGAATGGGTTACTTTCCCTTGCTTGTCCTTATCTCTGAAGCCTCCCTAAATTTTTCAGAGGTCCCCTCCTGCACTATCCCTAAAACTGCCTAATAACCCTAGCTTGCCCTGTCTCATTGCCAGAGACTTTTTTTTGAATAACAAATATCTTTTTTAAAAAAGTAACTTTTACCTGCCTTTTTGCTGTTTTGCTCCACATCTAAATCTTTTTTTTTTTAGATTTATTTATTTTTATTTATGCAATAGCTGGGGTACAGGCCAGAGGCGCGGGAGGATGAGAGGATTCACCAGAGACAGAGAGGGAAACAGAACAGGCAGACTGACTGAAAGCACTGCTTAGGGGAGCAGTGGGCGGTCTGCCATACCATGTGGGAATCTCCCTATCTGGCTGGGAATTGAGCATGCACTGCTGAGGCTGCAGACAGCTTCACAGCGCTGTGCTCAACCCACTGCGCCACCGGGGAGGCCTTCCACGTCTAAATCTTAACCTCTCCCTGGGAGAACAGCTCAGATTGCTGAGGTCTGTGTGAGTTCTCTCTTAGTTCCTCACTTGTGCTTGGCCAAAATTACCTGAGCCTTAGCCAGAATCTCTTTTCCCTTGATTTGCCCATTTGTGATATTTGTTCAATTATTTTAAGAAAGGACATTACCTCAAGGGTACCCCAAAGGATCCAATAAAAGGCAACTACTTGATAGGTCTGAAAATGTAAACTACAAAAATTTCTTTGTGAAACCTCACACAGGCAGACCTCATCCAAGGACTTACTGTTTACTTCACACAGCAAATAGTTTAACCGATTCTGCTACATATGCCACAGTTAAATATTCCCTTCCACTAAAATTTTGCACATTTTTTCTAGGCATTTTAACACATCTGGAAGCAGTTAGGCTATCACCGTGTCTATCTTCCAAGGTGGGAAACTGTTGGCAACTAGTTTGGGAAAGTCTAGTGACTCGGCTGAGGCTTACAGTCCTTGTGTTCCCTGCAGTCCTTGGCCTTTGATTTCTTTTTATATTTGTGTACTTGGACTTTTAAAGCAAAAATCAGGTGCTTCTCTGCTTGGACCTCCCTCCCCAAATGGCTCCCACTGCCTAGAAAACTGAATGGCAGGAGGAACTTAAGGGAAGATTCAATACAAAAAAGGCGGGTTGGGGGGTTGGGGGGGTGGGGAGTGGGCTCATCTTAGATCAAGGAAAGAAATTTGCTCATTTTAGACGCCAGTAGGAAACAATCCGGAACTTCCCAATGGCAGAGAGCAGAGTTCCTTTACTTTCATAAACTCTTCTGCTCCTGGGCAACATATCAAAGACCCAGCAGTAACTATGTTAGTCTTGTGACTTCTTTTATATATCCCTACTGCTGAGGGGCTTATTCCCAGCCTCAGCATTGATCCAGCCACAGAGCATGTGTCTCTTCCTCTGTCCCACCAGATAGGCGCTCCAATTTCCTTTATTGACTGGTTAGGCTTAACAAACTTTGTTTTCTTACATTTGGGGGAAAAGACCATTGCTAGAAAAATAAAATCGGAATAACTGACCACCCACCAGGTGATAGCCAAAGCAAGCTGGCCTCAGCCAAAACCTCCAAAGGCTTGTGTTATAAGGATGGACGTGCCCCTTTTGGTCCCTTGTAACTCTGGATAAATACCCCCATGCTAGCAGCACGGGTGGTCTTTCACACACAAATCAGCCACCTCCCCCTATTTGTCAACAAATTAAACTACTTTCCTTCTCTTCAAACTTTGTTTCATTTTGTGGCCAAGGGACCTGAGATCGGCATTCCAATACCAGCACCACTGACATTTCAGGTAGGAAACCTTTTCTGGGGGAGCATTATGTTTAGCAGGATCCCGGCTTCAATACACAAGATGCTAGCAATACAACCCCCTAAACCCCAAACTGTGACAACCAAAAATACCTTCAGACATTGTCAAATATCCCCAGGACAGGGAGAGGGCAAAATTTGTCTGGTTTGAGAACTACTGAAATAGGCTGACTAGAACGCCTGTCCCGACAGAAATGTATGTACACATAAATGTATATACAAAAATGCAGAAAGGAAATTTCTATTGTTAAAACTAGCTAAATCTGTGCAGCATCATAAGTGTCTTATTAATATAACTCCAATCAATACAGCTAAGATGTATTTAACGGTTGATTACAACCAGAAACTCACACAAAGAGGACATTTCCAAAATTTCACACTCATACTTTTCAAAGCCTCTGCTCAAAACATATTTAGTTTTTAATTTTTCAACCTGACCAAACTAATTTGAGAAACTGAGCAGATTTCACTGTGTGTCCCCTGTGTTTCTCATGAAGGCTGCATGGCTGTTGGGACTATTTGGTGACACATCAGGCAAACCCTCTGGGATAATGATATTCTCTTATGAGGGGGGTGCTTTTTGGTTTACAAAGCACTTGCACATTCCTTGTCTATTTTGATTCTGATAATGATCATGGGAAACTGAAATATCCCCACTTTGAAGGTGAGGAAGTGACGCTCAGAGAGTTAATATGGTGGCCCTAAGTCACTGTCACTGGCAGGTCAAGGACCAGGGTCCAAATGTCCCGACTCCTAATTCACTAATTCTAAAATAGTGATCTACACTAATAGAAAGCCTCCCACTTTGGGGTGTTAAAGTCCTCTGAAAGCATTAATGACTTCATTGTAGAAATTAATTCTCTGGCTTATTCATTCGGAACTACACAACACACTGAAATTATAAACAAAAATTAGAAAAATCTTGTTTTTGTCAAAAACAGGCCAAGTGACTCAGTGCACAAGATACTGAATACAAGGATGCCATTTCGCACAGTCACTTTGCTAATTATAACCACATTTAAACCAATAAAGTGTACTTTCCCCCAAACTGGTTATGCCTATTTGGATTATGTCAACTTCCAACTCCCAGGTCTCTTTTTTTTGAAAAGGACTATAACCAATGTTCTTTTGAAATCAAGGTAAACAATCTTAGAACTTTTTTTAAAAAAATCTATTTGGATAAATATCTTTCTTCCTTGCCTGGAAATGCTCTTTCTTTTTTTAGATGATTCATTTATATAAACAGGCAATCAAATGTTCAAAAAATTCTTTCCGCTCTACAGATACTATAGGTCTGAACTCTGTGTCAGCATTCCCAGAGTCTTGAAGAACAGGGAAAGAAAAATGGCATCAAAGGCAAACAAAGAAACAAAAGTAGAGAAAAGCTACCAGGGTCCTCACATTTGAAAAACCTACAGGAAGTAATTTGGTTGTTTTGGAAAAAGGAATGGAAACATGAGTCAGAATGTAGATCATTTTAATTGGCTGCTTTTCCCTTCAATAGAAAGTGGCTACCCACTAACCTGTGCTATTCTAGAGCTATCTAGCAATTTAGCAGGTTGCCTGGGTTCCCGGGACACTCCTGAAATTTCTGCTCACAAAGGACCCTGGCCTTTATACAAGAGGTAAGGGAAGTAGATTGTGAGTGTGCTTCCTCAGAACCCTAAGGCACTGCCCACACTGCTCTCCAAAGAATGGAGAGGTGGTCTACTTCCTGCCCTCACTGAAGCACTGAGCAGCTTTAGGAAAGCCCACTTTCCAAAACCAAATACAGTGATGTTGACTTGGAATAAAGGAAACTGACACTTTCCTAGGATTTCTTTCTTATCATAGCTCAATTTCAAAGAAGGTAAAGTTTCTTTGTGCCTCTCAGTTACTGATTCTTTCCCCCTGTGGAAAAGCTGAACCACTGTTAAGAGAGAACACATGATACTTAGTCAACAGCAAACTGGAAGTATACAGCAAGCTCGCCCCTGGCAGGCTTACCACTCTTAATGAGAAGAACAAGTTCAGGCACTAGTACAAAATGCTACCCAGCTGTTCTCAGCAGGAAGCTGTATCCCAAATTACCACAGGAAAGAGAGGCTATGTTTTAGATTAGTTACCATGAGCCTCAGGTATGTATGGTTGCAAGCTAATTAGTATTTAAGGTCAATAGGAGATTCTCTAGTTATACGATATGAATAAAGGTCTCTGCTGTAATTAAGATTTGGAGTCTGACTAATGAGGGTTTCACGCAAATCAGTACTTAAATTGTAGGTGAGACCAACATTACTATTTTAATTTCACTGGCAATAAGTGAAAAGTCTTTCTAGAGCACCTATGCATATTTGTAGTAGAGTGAAACACCACTGAATAAGGAAACTTACTCAGAGCAAGAATTGCCTATTCTATTAAAAACAGCTGGCTTTTGGGCCTCCCTGGTGGCACAAGGGGTTAAGACGCAACCTAAGAAGCTATCCCAGCCACTGCAGCACAAGTTCAATCCCCGGCCAGGGAGCTACCCACATGGCACAGCAGACCTCTCCTGCCTCGACCGCTGCTCCTCTCATCAGTGTATTTCAGACAGTCAGCCTGTTCTCTTCCCCACTCTGTCTCTGGTGAATCTTCTCACCTCCCACACCTCTGGCCTGCACCCCAGCTCTTGTGTGCATTAATAAATAAATCTTTATAAAAAACAGCTGGCTTTGGGCCTCCCCGGTGGCGCAGAGGTTGAGCGCTGGGTTGCAAAGCTGCCCTCGGCCTCTGCGGCGCCAGTTCAATCCCCAGCTGCTCCCCGGCCACCGGAGGTGGGTCCCCCATGGCGCGCAGACCTCTCCTGCCGCCCGCTGCTCCCCTCAGCAGTGTACCTGGGTCCTTCTGCCTGCTCTGCTCCCTGCTCTGGCTCTGATGAATTCTCTCACCCTCCCGCGCTTCTGACTGTACCCATGCATGTATAAACAAAACAAATAAAACAAAACAAACAAATAAATAAAACATGCCTCTATAAAAAAAAAAAACAGCTGGTTTTTAGGGTCATTGTATGGTGTAGCACTTCCCCTCTTCTGTGTCTTACATAACCCAATGAGGCATCCTCCCAACACCTCTAAATCAAAACTCCCAAGGACCACCATCAGACCCCTCCCCAGAATATGGAGTAAGTGCTGATACTAAATGTAGCCCCCAAACATTATGGATTTAGGAAGCAGCTCCAGCTCCAATCCCTCCAAAATCAAGGGTGAGATACCACCTCATTCTTTTGTTAAGGATTCAAAGTCAATGGCTGAAAAGGAGACTTGTGGAAAAACAATTTTTTGTTCTTCAACTTAACCTTAATGGAAACACAATTGCCTAGTATGAAAGACAAATTTGAGGCAAATGAGTCAGAATTTTGAATATTGGTCAATATTTTCTCCCACGTTCTGTGTGTGAGTGGTGAATTTTTACGGCAACCAAATTGTCAAAATTTACTGAGCCTGCCTTCCATTCCTTTCCCACAGTCCTAGAAAAAGACTGGGTCACTGGGCTCTAGCTGTCCTCACTGTCCAGCAACCCAACTCCCCAGGAGTCACTTTATCCACAGTAGCTGCAAATGTATGCACAGTATCGGGAATGGGAATCGCTAATTTCAAGGGGTTGTCACAGGCCCCACCTATGTGTCCCTGACTCCCTGGCATTGAGCTCCTGCTACTCAAAGTGGACTCATTTTAGTGTCCAGCATCTTATTTGAGCAATTGTTAACCCCAAATAAATCCTCAAACCAGTTTTTTTTTTATTTTTATATTCCCCAAACAATTGCAACCCCTTTATTTTGACCCCAATCCCTCCCCCCCCGCCCCCCGCCCCCCTCTCCTCATAAAGTGTCTCTGGTTCATAGTTGTTCCTCAAACCAGTTTTTAAGTCCCATATCCGCTCCCACCAGTTAGCAGTCTGCGCTCCGGTACCAACGCTGTGCCACACCCCACAAATCCTCTGCACAGATCTGAGATCCTTAATGCCCATATTAGCCAATCTAGGCAGCAATGAGTCATAATTTGCAAAACCTGAGTTGGGATCTCTGCCAAGTCGGGCACATAACCACTTAGACCCTTTTCTGTGGATCAGCATCCAGGGAGCCCTAGCAGCCGTCGAGCTCCTTCGCGCCCCCAGCAAGTTCAAGCGGCCGGCGGACAGTAACCGGTGCCAGAACGCGCTGCTTAGACTCCCTGGGCAGTACCTCAGCCCAGTGGGAGGAGACCTGGTGCCTCACACCTAGCGTGCAGCGTGGGGGCGGGGGGCTGGCGAGCGTGCCCGCCCACCGTCTGCTGGGGGTCGCCCCTGGCGGGATCCCAAGGACCCGAGCGGCGGGCGGGATGCGGGGGGCGTTTCCAGTGGCCGCGGAGGGTGCCCTGCGTCTGGGCTGGGTTCCGCAGGCACACCCGCCGCCCTGAGGTTGCGTAGGTGAGTCTTTGCAAAACGTTACTTACTTTTCTGAGTCTCAGACCCCTCTCTCCAAGGAGCGAAGGCAGTGGATCCCTGCCCCGAGCGGTGCCCCACGCTCCAAACCTGGCCGTCCCGCTCCACGCCTGCCCGCGCGTCCCCGGGGCAGCCAAGCCCCCTGCGCGGGCTCTAAGCCCCTTCCCCAAGGGAGCCGTGCACCGGGCAGTGCCCCAACGCCCTCGCCCCGCCCGGCCGGTGCCACCAGCAAACCGGGTCCCCAACCCCAGGCCCCCGGCGCCCCGCGCCTCTCACCCGGCGCCTCGGTGTTCGCTGGCTCGCTCTCTCTGGGGCGTATCCTGGAGAGGTGGTGCGGGCTCTGGCTGGGCGGCGGCTGGGTGCTGCAGATATAGCCTCCCTGGGCGGGGCCGCCGCCCGTGTCCGGGCCGGCCTCTCCTTGGCACTAAACTGGGTGAGCCCGGACACTGCAGCCCCAGGGCGCAGAAGAGACCCTCCAAACCTAAACGCAGAGGAGGGAGTGGGATGGGGGAGAACGGCCTGGGGGACCCTGAAGGGCAGCCGCCCCACACACCTACCCCCACCCCCACCCCAGCGACTCTGGGTGTGGACAGGGGGATTCACCTGATAACTCCTCATGATGAGTGTGTGCAGTTTTAGTGTGTGCTTCTGTGGGGGTGTTGTGCTTGTTTGCTTTAACTCTGTTTACTTATTTCCTGCCCAAAGGCAGCACTCTCACCCCTTTGGCATTTACTTTACCTAAACCCTCTCTGCATCAAAGCCTTCTCCCAAAGTGCCCTGTGACTTGTGTCACTGGGAGGGCCTGGCAAATCTTCTGAAATGCTGGGTGAGATGCTCCCACTTTTTTTTAAAAAAGATTTATTTATGCATAGAAGAGCTGGGGTACAGGCTAGAGATGCAGGGGGTGAGAGGATCCACCAGAGACAGAGTGGGGAACAGAATAGGCAGATTGACTGAAATACACTGCAGAGGGGAGCAGCAGAGGAGACAGGAGAGGTCTGCTGCGCCATGTGGATAGCTCCCTGACCTACTGGGGATTGAACTCCTGCTGCAGAGGCTGCTGATAGCTTCATAGGCTGCATCTTAACCCCTTGCGCCATCAGGGAGGCCCCATGATCCCACCTTCTTTTTTTCTTTTCTTTTTTTCTTGACTCTATATTCATTTCTTTTCTGAGCTGTGATGTGGGGGTACACACCTCTCAGACTGAGAGCAGAGCCCTAAATTGTCTTACTATTTGTTTCTTCACGGTGTCCCCAGCATCTACCGGGTGTTTGGTGTGTAATATCTGGTCCTCAGTCCATATCTAAGTGAATTGAATAATGAATCACTTCCTAGAAAGCTTATCTGTTTGCTCAAAGATTAGGAAGTGTCCTGATGAAAGAGGTATGCTTAATTACAATGTCCCTTTGGTAAAAGCAGGAGTAGGGCGAAGTTATGACTCTAAGAAAGGTAACAGCAAAGGCTAGTGCTTTGCAGACTGATGGTGTTTGTTTGGTATTATTTAGCTGAGTGAGGTGGTTAAGGATGTCCCAGATGGATTTTTTTTGGGGAAATTCAGGTAATCACTAGGAAAAATTAACTTGAATTAGATTAAAGACATAAATATAAGACCTGAAGTGTAAAACTCTGGAAAGAAAACAGGAGAAAAGCTTCTTAACGTTTGTCTTGGCAGCACTTTTTTTGATGACACCAAAGCACAAACAACAAACATCAAAAATAAGCAAATAGGACTTCATAAAACTAAAAAGCTGCCTCACAGCAAAGGAAATAATCAACAAAACGAACTTAGAAAAAATATTTGCAAGTCATGTATCTATGAGATTAATTTCCAAATATAAGGAACTCTTAAAAAATCAATAGTAATAAAAAACACAAATAATCATATTTAAAAATGGGCAAAGGACCTGAGTAGACATTTTTCCAAAGAAAACATACAGATGGCTAGCAGATATATAAAAAGGTTCTCAGCATCACTGTCACCAGGGAAATACATATCAAAATCACAATGAGATAGTCCCTCACCCATGTTAAAATGGCTGTTATCAAAAAGATGAGATCAAGTGCTGGTGAGGATGTGGAGGAAAGGGATTCCTTGTGCACTGTTGGTGGTTATGTAAACTGGTGTGGCCACTATGGGCAGCAGGATGGAGGTTCCTCAAGAACTACCATATGAGCTAGTAATCCCACTTCTGGGTATCTAGCCAGAGGCCCTGAAGCCACTCTTTTGAAGTGATATCTGCACACCCATTTTCATTGCAGCATTGCCCACAACAGCTGCCTAAACAGTACTTCACCTAAGTGTCTATTGATGGATGAATGGATAAAGAAAATATATCACACATGGGATTATTATTATTATTCAACCATGAGAAAGAAGGAATCCTGCAATTTTCAGCGACATGAATAAATCTTGAGGGCATTATGTAAAGTGAAACAAATCAGATAGAGAAAGACAAATACAATATTGTCTCTCTTATAGGTGGAACAAAGCAGAATTTGTAGAACCAGAGCAGTATGGTGGTTACAGGAACTGGGGAGGGGGAGAAATGGAGAGATGTTTGAGCAGCACTACCTATAATGTAAGGTCCAAGAACAGAGTCTAGATCTGCTTTTTTGATAATTGTAATTCTAGCACCTGAGGTTGCCTGTCACATAGTAGGTGCATTTATTACATGTAGTAGTACCATGCTGTGTATGATAGACCTGAGTCCAAAGTAGCTTGGATTCAGTTTTCACTTTTTAGCATCTATAGGATTATCATGCCTTACCTGCATCAGAAAATAGGAATGAATGAGGATATCAAGTGATTTATTTTAGAAATACATGTACTTTCATATAAAATAAGCTGAAATAAAACATAACCCCCAGGGGAAAAAAAAAAAAAGAACTGGAGAGATGTTGGTTAAAGGGTACAAACTTCCAGTTCCAAGATGGATTAGTTTCAGGGATGTATGTGTGGCGTGGTGACTATAGTTAACAATACTGTATACTTGAAAGTTGCTAGGAGAGTAAACCTTGAACCTTTGTTCTCATCAAACACACAGACACACATGGTAACTATGCCAGTGATGGGCGTCTTAACTAATTTCATTGGATTAATCATTTCACAATAGAATGGGATTGTCTTTGCGAAGATTGGGGAGAAGCTGCATCAGAGCCCAAATGGCACAATATTGTTGTAGGTTGTGTGGTAGACCCTTCTGCACACGCCCCAGGGCTCTACTGGCTTTAAATAATTTTCTAGAGCAGACTCCTAGGACAGACATGAGCATTTTCAGCAGAGATAACCATTGGCCATGTCTTTGGGAGTTCCCTCAAATTGGTAATGGACATTTCCCAGGGCAGGCAGATGCTGTAGCTAACTGGGGCTGGCGCACTGGTTTGTCAGCACAGAGGAGTCCACTTAGGCCACTGGGACAGAGGCACTGAGCAGGGGAGAGCCTAGGAGAGGTCCTTGCTCATGTAAGACTGTAAGGACTGTGGGAGGCCTACAAATACTCTCAGTGGGACAAAGGAAGCATGGCTGAACCGGTCATCTGGTGGTGGTTATGTAAGGTGATGGTACAGTTACACTTGTTTTATGTTTTAGGCAATGCGTTCCCTCAGTAAACCAGAATGGAAAATGGAAATCAGGTGTTAGATCACTGATACAATGTGACTGCATCATCAATATTAGCGAAAGAAATCTAGACTACATTTTACCTTAAAAAATATTAGGTATGTAGTTTGTTTTTTTTAAAAAAAGATTTATTTAGGGCCTCCCTGGTAGCACAAGGGGTTAAGGCGCAACCGATGAAGCTATCTGCAGCCACTGCAGCACGAGTTCCATCCTTGGCCAGGGAGCTACCCACATGGCACAGCAGACCTCTCCTGCCTCGCCCACTGCTCCCCTCAGCAGTATATTTCAGTCAGTCTGTGTGTTCTGTGTCCCACTCTGTCTCTGGTGAATCCTCTCACCCCCACACCTCTGGCTTATACCCCAGTTCTTGGATGCATAAATAAATAAGTCTTTTAAAAAAAAGACTTACACAAAAGACTTATTTATTTATGCATCCAAGAACGGGGCTACATGCCAGAGGTGTGGGGATGAGAGGATTCACCAGAGACAGAGTGGGGCACAGAACAGTCAGACTGACTGAAATACACTGCTGAGGGGAGCAGTGGGTGAGTCAGGAGAGGTCTGCTGTGCCATGTGGGTAGCTCCCTGGCCATCTGGGGATCAAACTCGGATGTAGTGGCTGGCAGTAGCTAGAGAGCGCTGTCTTTAACCCCTGTGCTGCCAGGGAGGCCCTCAGTATGTAGTTTTTTATCTAGCTCTATAACTCTAAAAATGAGATAAGAATGTGTGACTCACAGTGCTCCTGGATTTTAGAAATTATACATGGTAACTCAAGTGGTCTCACCTTGACTTCTAAAACTCAAGTAGCCTTGGCTATTTGGGATCCTATGATGTCAGAGAACAAAGAATGTGTGATAGATAAAGCGGTATTGCTACTAAGAAAACTAAAGAAAGAAGCATTTAAGCTTGGAGTTTAACTCTGACTTCGCCTCCTATGATCCTCCCCCCTCCCCCACCTACCCTGCCACAGGCATCTCCTAGCACAAGCTAGTCCTCGTAACACACAAGAGTCCATCCACCTTAGTTCCACCCTTGCACAGGCTGGTCCCTATATCTGGAACTCTCTTCTCCCATTGCCTGCTGACTAACTCACCTCCTTCAAGTTTTCATTCAAATGTCATTCAGATCCACTGTTTACCATCCTGTTTAAGACTGCAGCTCACACTTCCCCCAGATCCTCATGCTGCTTATCCTCCTTTACCCTACCCTAATTTTTCTTTTTACCCATAGAAGTTATCATTTTCCAGCATGCTATAGAATTTGCTGATTTCTTCTGTCTGTGGTTTATTGTAAACCACTCCCCCCCCACCACACCACCTTTTTCTACTCCCCTCTCAGACCACAGAATTCTTTGCTGTATTATTCCCTGATTGCACATAATAGGCATTCAATATTTGCAAAGTGAATAATTCATAGTGTGAACTATAGAAAATTATTCCCTCTAGCTAATTAGTGTCTCTTCAAAGTGATTTTTAAAAATTAAGAGAAAAGAATTCAATTGATAGGGTGCTATGTTTGTAAATTAAAAAAAAAAAACAAACCCTTTTGATATCTATGCCCCAGGGAACTGCCTAGAAATGACCACTTGTTTTAGATAGACAATCTTGAAGCAACTCCATTAGTAAGCAATTATCAGCAATCCTTTAGTTCAGGAAATTCAAATCATATACTCATTTTTTAAAGATTTATTTATTTATGCATATAAGAACT